TATATATATATATATATATATATATATATACCTTACCTCGAGATGCGGCGCCGACAGATTGGAAATAGCAGCAAACATCCACGTGGCCTTTGCCAAAGTAAACCGCCTTGCGTTCGTAGCCCCGTACAGTTCCACAAGCCGGCTGCACACGGTGAAAAAATGCATACATGCACTGATGGGAAGATGCACAAAACTGGAGACATCCAAACACTAGCTACAGACTGTAGACTATTCCCCCCAGTGCATTCATGCAACTCTACCCTGTTTTCTGAGTGATACGATTCCGCAGTCCTCTCCCCCTCCTCTGGGCTGCGCTAGGCACGTATGCTTCTGCAGCTGCTTGCATGCACGCGTCAACTAGCGCACGTTACTGTGAGTGCATGCATGAATGAACGAAGGCGAAGAGTGCTTGCCCGTCTAGTTTCCAGTTCCAGAGATCTTCTCGTGCAGCGACGTTCCTCTGCGCACTGCCTGTTTGTGAGTTAGTAAAGCCCTGAGCAGGCATTTGCTGTTGATTGCTGGTGTACACGTTGCTGCTGCTGTTCGTCAGGCGCTCATTGAAACCACCAGAAGCAGTAGTGGGGTCGGCAGTAGCAGCAGCAACCGCCGCAAAGTCACCCCCAGAGAACACCGACCCCGGAAACTCGCCGCGTTCAGACAGAGAAGCAAATGCTGTCCCTACTCCAAGTCCTATCTCACGCAACTGCCAATAGGCAGCCTGCAGATCCCCGCAGCTGCAGCCAGCGTAACAGCAAGAGAATGACTTGCACGTGTACGCACACCCGCATGCACGCATGAATGCACAATTCCACTGATGCACCCATTTCATGCACTGTATTAGACCCATAACAGGGGAATCTTCGCACTGAATAATATGCTGATTCGACGCCTGCCCCATGCTTGACCATATATAAATATGTGGAAAGATGCTCCTATATCTACGCATATACGTAGATAGCCAGATGTACATACATATGTATGTATAGGATACACACATTTGTGAGCCTGTTCATTGAATACGGTATACAGTTTATATTATATAGTATATATGCGATGGTTCCTCACTCGATGCAGAGCAAAGTGCGCACAAGCCGGCAGTGGACGGCCATGGGTACATTCCGGCAAATATCTGCTGCCACAAATTCTGCTGAGGCGATGAGAGGAAAGGCTTTTTCTCGTGTGAAGTCGCAGCACCGCAGCACGCAAGCAAACCAAACAAGCGCTTCTACGAGCTCTGCCGCGGCGCTGCTGCTGCTGCTACTGCCTTCAGCTGCAGGCGAGAGAACTGAGGCGGGCAAGAAGTTGAGATGTGAGTGCAGCTGTTTCATGCGGTATCTAATGACGCCACCGTCGCTTCGTCCTGCATACAGCTGCTTTGCTGCTGCTGCTGCCAATGTATCGTTGTTACTGCTCTCCCTTTTATGTGCACTATTCAGAGGATAGTCTGCTGCTGTTTCCAGCACTCCGCAAAGAATACGGGACGCCAGTAGCGCTGCATGCAGCTGCTGGTGCAGCGATCTTCTGTGTGTGAGTCGGGCCCAGCGGTACAGCGGCAGAAAGCTTCGCATGCGAATGTCGACTTGTTTTATGTCAGGGGCAAAAAAGTCATCATCAAGGTACACCCACTCCTGGAGCATGTTGCGGCGCCAAAAGCACGCCTCTACTGCCTCTTGCCAAGCGCTGCATGCAACGTCTTGCTGCGACCCCAGCCACGCCAAGTCCCCCAACCGACAGAGCACGCCGCATAAGCCCTCAAACTGCTTCTCTCGACGCAAAAGATGAACTGCCTTCTGATGCTGCCGAAGCACTCTCTGCAACAGCTGCCCTAGAGTAGACGGATCTCTGCACACACCCACACTAACCAGACACTGGGCTTTGCATGCGGCTTGCATGTGACAGCTACAATCGGTGTTACTACAACAATGGTTGTTCATCAAATGTGCGATGCTCTTCTTGCAGAACATGGAAAGGATGAGGGAAGGTTGATAAATCCTGCGTTGTCATACTGTTAGTCGGTTACTATTATTCATATACACTGCAACACACGTAAGAATGCAGCGTGTCTGTCCGGGGTTCAAATCCCTTCGGACCCGTTGCTGGACTTGGATTCCCACAGGGCCTTTCGCGCCTTGTCGAGGCTAAGGAGAAGGGCGTTGGCTGGGTTCGGAGCCACATGCTGGCGGTTCAGCTCCTGCTGCAGCTGGACGGCTAGCTGCTGCTGTTTGGCGAGCGACGCCACCATAGCATTTGTGCGTTCTTCCCAGAACTTTCTGATCTCTTCAGCTGCTTTGGCTGCTTCTTCTGCTGTAGTAATAGAGGAAGTAGGCAGGATAGTATCCCCTTTGGCATCGAAACCTTTTGTTGTCCTTCGCTTAGACACAGCCGCCGCAGGTGCGCTGTACACACAAATGCAGTATCGCATCTGCCGCTTTTGCAGTCCCAACCGGTTTAGGGTACACGGAGTAGAATTTAGTGTTTGGGGATGCCTACGGTTCTTGGGGCTCCTTTTCTGCTGCCAAAGTGGAGGCCTGTGCGAGTTTCTCTTCTGCAGCGGTATGTTCCCTGACGGCTGCGTTTAGGTACTGGCGAGCTCGTTTAACCGCTGTTTGTTTGGCAACCAGGAGCTGCTGTTGCGCCCAGAGGCCTAAACTGAGGGCACAACGAAAAGGAGCAGTTCTGCCTAAACGGCTGAAACGCCGACACAGAAATACTGCTTGGTGCCACCGCCTTCGCTGCAGCAGCAGCCTAATGCAGAAGATAAACACGGCGCCCAAATACCACGTGTTTATCTTCTGCACATCTGCGCATACACAGCAATTCCGCTCTAGCGGTGGGCATTCAACGTCTCAATCGTGTCAGAGTGTGCGTACGTCGTTGTACTTGAGGTGCAAATGTGTTGCAGGTTGGACGTAGTCTGTGCAAAAAGAGTGCATACACCAAAGCTCCAGCATTCATGTTTATTTTATTTGTCTATCGTTGGAGTCAAGGAACAGGCGTGGCAGTAGATGCCCCTAATGCCCATCAAATTCCTGTGGATCTCCTACCAATAAATTCCCCTCGGGTTTATATGTTTATATACGTGCACGCACCTATATCTGCATGTTTACATCTTTATTTCCCCCTATACTATATATGCTCATGTGCAAAATTTAGTACACATATAGACATGCATGCATACGATGTACGCACTCGCGTAATAGCGTGCCTCGCAGTGCGCAACAGACGAGAGGGAATCAGATAGATGCCGCTGTCCTCTGTTTATCTGCGCTCCTCACCGAATGCTTGTTGGCAAATCAACACCTGACGACTTGCAGATTCTGAGCTGGTGACACCGCTGCTGCCATCTGCTGCTGCTTCCTCTGTGGCCTGCAGAAAAGTGGAGGTGGGCGCCGGGGAGTCGTCTGCTGGAGAAACACCAGTTGCGCTGAGGATTGCTGCAGCGCATGCAAACAGTCGCACGAGGGCCTGCCGCCTGCGTGACTCTTAGGTATACGCACACCCGACAGCTGGAGACAGCAGCTGCTAACCTTCGATTTCACGGACGCTAAGCTCATCTTTCTCCGTTGCCAGTAGGTGCTGCTGCAGCAAGAGGTACAGGAGATCGCTGCATGCTTGAGCCACTACCCCCGCCGCTACTGACAAAGGAATATGAGGCTTGGCTTCTGCGCTCTGCTGCTGCTGTTGCTGCTGCCCTCTATACCCCCTCGCTGCTGCGACCGCCGCGCTCACAGACCCCAGAGGCCTCGAGATATTCTTCAGATCTCCTCGCTTTGACTGCCTGCTGTTGGCCGCTGCTGCTACTGCTGCAGCTGCAGCCCCATCTGCCACCCGGTTGCCGTCTCGAGCTGTCGGTGCGACAAAGGGCTCCAGGCCGGGAGAAGCAGTAGACTCTGCCAGTGAAGCGGTGTCTACGCACCGCGTGCACGAGAGTTCCTCCAGGAGGGCAGCACCAAACCTGGCCTCTAAATGAAGGAAAAACAAAGCATTGCCTAGGTGAATAATAGTTGAATATGCCAGAAGCGGAGCGTTAGCTGCAACAGCACAAGACGCCGCTGTCGCACCCCGCTGAAAGAGCAGCATAACGGCACTCCAAACTGCTGCGCAGTCGTTTGCTCCTGGTGCACCTCCAGGTGCACCTCCTGCTGCTGGCACTGCTGCGGAGGAGGCAGTAACTGTATTTGCATGCACAGTGTTTTCGTGGCCTGCGTCTTCCGTTTCAGATGAGCTTCCTGCTGCTGCAGCTGCTGCTGCAGCTGTTGATTCATCTGTGCTTGGCTGAAACAGCGGGTCGGCAGCAATCGCGTCGAAGTCGAAGAAGCCATAAGGAATGTGCTGCTGTTTCCTGCAGTTGGTCCTGTTGGTGCTGCTTCTGTTTCTGCTGCTGCTTTTGTCGTTGTCGTCGTCGTTGGTGGTGGTGCTGCTGTCGCTGTTGCTGTTACTGGTATTGTCTGTTGGTAGGGAGGGCGAGGCTAGTGCTCGTCTGTGAGCTGAAATAACTTCGAGGGGTGCTGCGAGCAGGAGAGATGATAGCTGCGAGAGCGACTGAAGTTCTGCTGTCTGCTGCAGCGCCATTTGCCTCACATCCGCTCGTGCAGTTCGCAGTCGCCGTTCCAGTGCCACTTCCTGTTGACGGAGAGCTTGAACCTGAGCAGCTGTGTCCTGAGCAGACACCCCTTTCCCTGTTGCTGCTACGCCTGTTGCCAGGCCGTTGCCGACTGCAGGAATGGGTTGAGGCAGCTGCGCTGGTGTCCGCTGGTCCCGGAGATCATCGGCATTTAGCCACTCCACCAGAGGCTCCGCTGCTGCAGAATACAGATGCGCGAGGGTTTCTGTGTAGAAGCGGAGTGTAGCAGCAGCAGTAGGCATTGCAGATTCAGTTGCTGCTTGTGCCTCTGCCACAAGGTCTTCTGCGTCTGCACTGTCTCTCCACTGTGTCTCGCGCAAGCGGCGCTTCAGGCCGAAGCAAAACACAGAGCTGATAATGTGCAACACAGCAGCAGAATTTTCTTCTTTCTCCAAATGGGACTTGAAGAGAGTTTTCTCACTCTCAGCTAGCCGTTGCAACGCAGACGGAAGCTCTGCAGGGGCTGCCAGCAGCACGGAGAGAAGCAGCGTGCCAAGTTGCTTGCCATCGCTGCTGCGGCTGTCGCATAGCCATGCTGGCATCGGGAGCGTTTCTAACAAGGCCGCAGCTGTGGGGCTTCTCTGCAAAACACCAGAGGTTGCTGCAGCGATGCATGCAGATAACCAAGAGCTGAGAATCAGTCGTTTTTCTGCAGGATTCAGCAGAACGCCAGCTGAAGCAGGCAGCGTGAGACACCGCGGCAGGCGTTTCTGCACCAACCCACTAATTAAAGGTATCTGCAGCAACAAACACCTCGGAAAGCAAGCAACGAGTTAGGTGGGTGCGTGGTGGGCTGCCGTCACAGTGAGTGTGCCGATGGTGAACATAGAGAGCAAGAGTTACATATACACCAAGAACCCAATACCCTAGTGCCAAATTGGTTGTTGTTTGTGAGGCATATGGACGCACCTGCAACTGAGCTGCTGCGAGACTAGCAAACCCAAGGAGAGCTGCCTCTGCTGCTCTTGTTTGGGGTCTTGCTCCATCGAAAGGAGTTGTATTAAGAGCTGCAAAGGAGCGCAGGAGGGGTGAGAGGAGGTCGGGGGGGAAGGACGAAAGGGATGAGAGAATGGTAGACAATGAGTTCAGTAGCAAAGACAACTGCTCTTCAGCGACGTCTGTGCTGCGCCCCATTACGGCCACTTGGAAATTAACCGATTGTCTGTACACCTGCTGAAGACCCAACACCAGCTCCAATCTCGACACCACAGGGCAAGGCAAGGGACGCCGCACACGGAACTGCAGCAGCACCAAAGGAACAAACGTAAAGTTTGTGCATGCTGTCTGCATGCTGCTGCAGCAGAAACTGCAGCAGCATGAAGCATGCCGTGGTGGCGGTGATATGTCGGTGAAGTAGAGAGAAGCCTTACCGAGCAAACCACGCTGTCGGCAATAGAGCGGAGGACAGCAGGGGGCAATCGGCCTGCAGGCAAACAGAAAAAAGCAGCAGGCTGAACAAAACAGAAGGATGCAAGTGCACGCGCAAATGTATGCATGCATGCGCCTGTACAAACGTGCCTGCATTAATGCTTCTGTATGTGCTGTATGCAAATGCAAAGGCGAAGACACTTGTTATATATATTGTGCCTACTTATACTATCTATATTCAGTCCATCAACCTATATACTAAATCCAGTGTATTCTCTTATATGCTTATCTCAGTAGGGGAGGAGGCACCCATTGACCTACGGAGAGCATTCTCCCTCAATTTGTGTCGCTTGGGGGCTTTACCCTTGAGCCCCCCCTCAGTCGTAGCGATGTAGCTCCACAGGTCGCTGAGGACCGCCTGAACAGCCGCATCCACGCACCAGGCTTCTTCTGGAGGTGCGCAGCTTTGTGCGGCATGCTAGCTTTGCTGGCGTTGCTGATAAACACGAGCGGTACTGGAGAACGGCGATAGGAGATTCTCATAATGCATGCATCTTCCCGAAATTTGTCAATGAATTATGAGAGTAGCCGTTCAACCGGGCGTTGTATAAATGCCCCTGAGGTATTGCCTCATTGGCGCTGTCGTCAGCTGTTCAGCAGCCAACGCAGTACCACTGTCTCGGCTTCCTTTTTCGCCACATTAGCCTTTATGGTTTGCTGTTGTTGAAGGGTGAGGAATGCGTACTTCTGCAATGCGGGGGAGCGAGCAGCGAAGCGCTGCGGTGTATATACGAGCCTTGAGCATCGCCAGAGGGAGAGGAGTGCTGCAACTCAGTGGCAGTGTTGTATCACTCAAATCCGAGGGGCGCCCACCTCGTACCTCTTCGTATGCAACTAGAGCAGATGCGAGACACAAAGTATTCGATACTCAACACGCACGTGCTGCAACAGCAGCAGCACCACCAGATTGGCAGCGGCAGAAACGGCAGCACAAGGAGCAAGCCTACCAGCAGCAACAACAGCAGCAACGGCAGGGAAAACAGATGCATCAGCAGCAGCAGCCCTGTAGCTTACCTGCGTATGCTTCTGTATCTTTAAGTTGGTGAATTCGAATCAAACTAGAAGGCTCAAACCGCAGCCCAGTGCCGGCCACTGCCTTCTGGTGCCGAGATACCCCAAGGCCCCCGTGAGTACGCACGGGTCCCCCATACAACACGTGCCAGGGCCTACCTGAGGCTTCAGCAGGTACTCCCCCTGCAGCGGCAGCAGCAGGAAGACTCAGCAGCATAAATTGGGGTCCCCGTCCAACCATCAGCGGTGCCCCCAGCTGTCGGTGCCTTTTCGAAGCCCCGCTGCTGTTGCTGCTGCTGCTGGCGGCGCTGCGTGCTGCTGACACAGACAAGGACTTGGACTCGGTTGCTTCTGCTGATTCTGTTGTTGCTGTTGCTGCGGCGCGAGCAGCTGTAGCCACGTCCGCTGTTGCTGCTTCCCATCTGCTTTCGAGTTTGGCAGCCAGTGTAGCCTCCACGTCTGCTGCTGCAGCGGAAGCAGCAGCCGTTTCTGGGGGCAGCAGATCGGCCAGAGCACAGAGATATAAACAACGCCGGTAGCAGTTCAGCCCACACTGCTGCTTCAGCCGCTGTATCTGCACCACTTGGTGAGTGCTGCCTTCCCCAGCACCACACTCCTGTAGGCCAGCGGAAGCAGCTGCACCTTCCGCCTTGGTGCTAGCAACAGTTGTGCCTCTGTTACTCCTGGTATTGCTGCTACCCTTCTCCTCCTCTCCTGGAGCAGCGCGAAGTCTCGCAGAGGAAGTAGCAGACGGTGGATCGTGGAGTGGCTGCGCAATCAACAAAAGGAACTAAAAGCGATTTGGATTTGGCTCTGCTATTTGAAACCACACGCATACGAGACAGAGTATATACAAATCCAATATACACAAATATAATTATGAATTAAAATATAAATATAGGATTATACATAATACATACTCAGACAACATGCATATGTTCTGTGCAGATACCTACGTTTATGAGCCTGTAAGTAGAAACCTGAAGGCTACTAATATTTACACCCTTAATTGCCCAAGAAAAGCACCATTAGACAACACAACTTCCCCTAAATTTAACCTGGTATTAGACAGACACATTAAAGAGAAGAGGGCACCTCCTTTCTGTGCCTCATGCATGCTAATTGAAGCTAATTTACTTTAGCTGTCAGCCGCGCTTCCAGTTCATACATTTGGCAGAGGAGTGTCCAGGCCTCTGCAGGCTCTGCATCCCATGTGGGAGAAGCGCGTGTGTGCACCTTCAGCTGCTGCTCCTGCTGATGGTGCACCAGCAACTCATCCTGCAGTTGCTTCCCATTTGACGTTTTGATTCCGTCCTGCACAACTTGTATGCTGTCTCTTTCCAACGTATCTTCCTGGTCAACCGCTTCCCCTGTGCCTTGCTGCTCCCAATACACCGCTGGATCCGCGGAGGCCAGCAGCGCGGATGCTGCTGCTGCCGCTGCTGCTGCCTCTGCTGCTGGCGCTGCTGGGGCTGCTGCTGCTGCTCCTACAGCTTCTACTAGAGGGGCCGCCAGTTCACAAGCTGAGGCCTCCGCCCGCTCTATCAAACCCCTCAACAGCTCCGCCACTCGGGAGGCCTCCCCGCTTCTAGAGACAGCAACCAACAAAACATCAAACAGAACAGCTTGTATGAGTGCGCCGCCCTCTTGTACGGTGCAGTGTATGCGTTCCAGTAGAATACAGCACAACACCACTCAACAACAGAATACAACTAAGCGTAGCTTTACATAATGCAGCAAAGTAGTGTACATACAACCCAACATAACAAGAAAGTCCAATGCAAAAAACGCATGTCAGTATGCGTTGTACGTTGTTGATGGGCGTTTTTGTAATTACAGTACTATGCTGCACTCAACGCAAAAAAAGTATAGTGTAGCATTAAAGTGTATTCCATCATAATTCAGTACTCGGTGGTGAAGTGGAATGCAACGCAGTACATGAAGTACACTACATATAGTATTAAAAGTATAAGCCGAGGGTATGCAGTGAGGTGCGGCCCCCAATAGTTTGTAAGAGAATGCAGGTGCTGCAGCTCACGAGAGGTGGGGGTATCGCTGCGTCAAATGAAACAAGAGCACTGCTGCTGCTGCCAGTGGTCTCATAAAATTAAAACGGCATTTGGTCATCAGAAAAGCCATCTGCTGTGCTGCCTTGTAGAGCAGCAGCAGCAGGCCGAAACCATCAGCAGCAGCAGACAACTGCGCATCTGCAGCTCGTGGATAAGCCAGACTGCCGTCTCTGTCTCCCGACGCGCCAGCAGCAAGCAGGATGTTCGCAAGAGGAAGAATATGGCCGTGCCACATCTGCGTACAGACGAACCACAGCACATAGCTGCTGATACATCCTGTGAAACTGTAAAGCCACCTGGCGCCGCACCTGCGGCTGCAACTCCAACGCAAGATGCCTTTCCCCCCGGATAGCAGCTGGTCAGCTAGCAAAGCACTCTGCTCTCATACAGAAGCAAACAACACCAGAGGCGTTATGTTCGTTCTAAGGGATGATTTGGGATGTTTTACCACACCTCCTTTCCAGACCCAAGCTTACTGTGAGCAATACTTCGCTTAGGTATTCGCTGCAGGATGTCTTCAGCAGCTCCTCGAGGCCACCTGTGGTGTACGCTTCAGTCCAGAGGGCTGTCACCTCCAACGCGAGGTTGAGCCTGAGCTCGGCGTTTACCTCCCCTTCTCCATGCAACGAAGGATTTCTGACTAGCGTGCTGCTGCTGCTGCTGTTGTTGTTGTTGCTGTTGGTGGTATCTCTTAAAGCTGCAGCAGAGACGAAAGGCGCCTTTGGAGGAACTGACGGTTCGCCACGCCCATCCAGCGCCGCCTCCAGCTGCCTCAAGAGCAGCCAAGTGCAGAGCTTATGAATTAAAACATTCAGAGGAAACTCCCCTTCTGTCTCTGCCCAAACTCCTAGGGATACGCCCAAGGCGTCCTGCGGCGCAGGCGCAGCTGCTCTCTCTGCTATCCTTCAGAGATCTAAGCCGTGAGTTAAAACTAGTGCAACTAAACTACACCTCAGGAGCTGCTGTGTAGCTCTGTATGCATAGTGTATGGAGGGAAAGGGGAAGGGACGAAGGGGTTCTGCAGCAGCGGCTCTACTCCTTCAGCATTGCATTGCTGCATGCAGCCGGATTAACGGAGGCTTCCTGTAGTCAGCCACCATACCGTGGGTGGCTTGCGGTTGGGCAGATTGAACAAAACGTTAAAATGCGGAAAAGGTGGCGACAGCCAAGGCAACGACTCGACAGGGGCACACAACACAGTAAGGTGTACACCGAGGCAGCTCTGCAGCACCGAACGAGGGTTCCCCTGGAGCCGCCATTGCATCGGCTCTGGAAACGTTTCGTCAGTTAGGGGCCCCCGTGAGGGAGAACCCTCCCTGGTGGTGCTCTTGTCATCTTGAGCAAAACCCGAATCCACAGGAGAAATCGCACATCCTGCTGCAACCTTAGTATAAACGAGAAACTCATGATTCCCCGCTGGACCTGCCGAAGATTGTCGGAGCTGTAGCACATGCACTGTTGTGGGCTCTGCAGTTGCAGCTTCGGAGCCTTTAGCTTGTCGCTGCAAGTGGGGTATCTTGAGACAAGCAGCACCTGCGTCTGCATCCTTAGCGGTTCCTCCGAATTCTGCTCCTTCGGACGGAGCCAAAACCTCGTGAAATACCGCCAGCGCATTCGAGACAGGCTGCAGCAGCTTGTGCTGTTGCTGCTGCTGCTGTTGTTGTTGCTGGTGCTGCCGCAGTAGCAGCCGTAGAGGCAATGGGGGCCGTTCCCCATCGCAAGTTATGCCGTAGACAGCCTGAAGCACCTGCTCGCATTGCAGTGACTCTGCTGAATTCCCAGACTCATATGCGTCTTCAAGAACATTAGCTGGAGCTGTTGTCTCTGGTGCTGGTGCTGCGGTCACTGCTTCCCACGGAGATGGTGCCTCCATCCTGCGTATTTCGGCCTTGTACTTTGCTGCAGCATCCTCATAACTCTTGGCAGCAATGAGCTGCATTCCGCAGATAAGCGGCAAACTGCTGCTCAAGTCTGCTGCAGTGCAGCCTGTATATGCACCTACGTTTTGCACAAGGCCTTCACCATGCTCCTGGGTGTGCGCTCCGTCGGAGTTGGCCAAGGCAGCAGCGCTCGCAGCACCAGCTGCAGCTGCAGTGGCTGCAGCAACACTTGCAGCTGATGCTGCACTGGAGCGCAGGTCAGCTTCCCAGTCCCAGCGACGCGCCAGAAGGAGTCTGATGAGTTGTTTCTGCTTTACGTTGTTGGTTGCTTGATTTTTCAATTCCCCATCTGTGTCTTTCTCAGCTTCTGCTGAAGCAGCAGCAGCCATCTGCGCTTCCAGCGTTGAAATCCGTTGCTGTTGCGAGCCCCTGGTTTGCAGCCGTTGTTCATCTGTACGTACACCTGATATCACAGTAATCTCCTCCAGAGGTCGCAGCCCCTGCAAGTCGCAGCAACTGGCGAGCCCCCAGCCCTGTCGTAGCAGCTCCTCTAGCTTCTGAAGCTGCTGCTGTTGCAGCTCCAGCGGCTGTGTGGACATCAATCCATCCCCTGCCAACTCCCCCTCCAATTCAAACACCTCAAGCTCCGTCACTGGCGGCTGGAAGAAGTTCCTGAGCACGACAGAGCCACAAAATGCCTGCTGTAATGCGTGCATGTAAAGACCGTGCTTTTGCGCAGAGGTGCATGCTTGCTGGTTACGGAGATAGCATGGGGCTGCGACTCTGGAGCGTTATGCGGGGAATGCTAAACAGCCATATGTGTGCTGCTCCTCCTGGGATTTCTTTGATCTATATTTTCGGATAGCAGCCATCTTCGTTCTTCTAATTAAATTGTCCGGCCGTTTCGTCCATTTGTCTGGTTTGCCAAAGCTATTCCTACATGTAGATGAGCCGATATTCGAGGGCACGCCAGCACCTCAACAGCTTCCCAGGAGGCAGGATATCCTCGCCCTCCGCAAGGCGCCACAGGAGTTCCAGGTGTACACAAAGCGGCAACGAGGCAGCAGCGCGTTGAGCTGCTCGGACTAGTTCTCTAAGAGACTCGTCACAAACACCAGAGCCTCCTGCAGCTGCTGTGGCTGCTGGTACACTTTGTCCGACGGCAGCAGACTGCCGGGAAGGCTTCTTGCGCATGTGCCCACCAGAGTCATGAGAACCTGCTGTTGCTGCTGTAGCTGCTGATGCTGCCGTCTTGGGGTCGGAGGATCCCCCCCGGCACTCTGTCTTGAACACCATATCCAGTTTCGTGGCTGCTGCCAGGAAATCACCAAGAATTGGATCGGCGACATCAAGCAGCTTCAGCAGCAGAGCCTCTGAAAACGTGCTGATGTTATTGCTGTCTGCTGCAGCACCAGCTCCCGAGGTTGCTGAAGCAGCGGTGAGCTTCTTCTTACGGGAGCCCTTCGCCTCGTCGCGTCTTCTCGAAGCGGGGCTTCTGCTGCCTGAGAACTCTGCATCGCCTGCATGCAAAGTGCCATCGATCTGTGCGTTGCTGGTGCGGCTGCATGCATCCCAGTAATTGCTGCTCCCCAAGCCCCAAACAGGGGATCCGCGGTTCCACTGGCCCTCCGGTTGCAGCAACACGAGGCCCAGCGACAGGAGGAGACTCCGGTATGCGGCAGACTGCCCTCCATCCAGAAACAGGTTAGGCGCTGCAGATGCAGAGCTGCTTTCGAACGCATGCGAAGCAAATGCAAGCTTGCGAATCTGCTGCTCGAGAGAATTGCATTTGGCTGTGCCAACGTCGCCGTTGTTGGGCCGGACTGCAGCAGCAGCAGCTCGCCCGGCTCGGGTTTGTGGCAGCGTTGAAGCATCTTGGTCTGCCCACACACTCGACGTGAACATCTTCACAGCGTTTTGCAGCTCGTCCAACGCATCTGCGAAACACGGAGGGCAGCAGAAACGGCAAAAGAGCAGATATCTCAGGTGTTGCTGCCGGCAGGTTTGGCTCAAGTTAAGTCGCTGCTGCAGAAGCCTAACTTCCACAACACACGCAAAGATGCCCGTATGTGGGGAGGCCAAAAAGGAAACGAGGCTGCGTTCCCTTTTATTTCCATATATGAAGAAAGAGTGACTTCGCAGAATGTCCACAAACCTACCAACTGGCGTGATTGTTTGTTCTCTGAGTTTGCACTTGATAAGGATAGCTGCAAAGAGTAGTTGTTTGTATTCGAATTCCCTCTTTCTCCTTGCAGCCAGAGGCTGTTGTAGGGCCTGCGTAATGGCTGCTGCAACTGCAGCACAGATTCTCGAAGCTTCTGCATACTGTCGCCGAGAGTACAAAAGTGTGGCTAATTGCCACCAGAAAGTCCAGTAAGGAGGCGAAAACCTGGACTCAAAGGCCTCTACAGTGTACAGACACCTGCTGAGCAGTTGCGCTGCAGTGCTGCTGTAGCCACTCGATCCCAAACTCTCGGACAGTCGGCTCACCAGCAGCACAGCAGGGAACAGGAGTCGCTCCAACTGCAGTGGCAGCGCAGCAGGAGCTACAACCTCTTTTGCTGCTTTCCAAGCGCACAGCAACAATTGCAATGACTCAATCCGCTCTAACACCGAGGCACGCCGGTCCGCCTCCTCACAGCCGCTGCGGTCCTCCCGCTCGTGCAACCAGTGAGCTGCGGTTGCACATGCGTTCAGGAGCACGAAGGTGCCTGCGGAATGCAGCAAGTGAAGGTTTTCAAGTCTCCCGCTGCTGCTTCCGTTGATCTTCTCAAGGCTTCCGGAGAAACTGCTGCTACGTTCCGCCTCTGCCGCCTTCTGCTGCCGGCTGCAGATGGGACAAGGTGTGCTGTTGTCGACTGGAGTGCTGTTTGTGAACAACGGGTTGGTGGATGCGTTCCTCAGAATGTCGCGAGCGTCGGGTGCCTTCAGGTGAAGCACACATATTGCGAGGTCTGCTAAGCCCAGCTTGAGCAGACCCAGCGCCAGGTCGACCGCAGCATCGAACACCAGGCACAATGGCAGGCGAACCGCAGCCATGGAATCAAATGCAGAGGCCATCTCCTCGAATGCCTCTACCTGAGACAAAGTACAGAGCACACAGCATTGTTTCGATGGATTGAAGACTGCTCATGCGCTGTACAGTCTGCCTGCATGTGGTTGTGCCCTTCTGCACGGGAGGATTCATCTCGGCGTGCAGCGATTTCCCCCTAGCCCTCCACCGCCTGCAGGGTCTTCTCTCTCACATAGTGCTGTTGAGACAACCTCGTTCGGCACGGCCCCGGTCTGTTGCGCAGGCGGCTGCGGACGGAGAGTAGTAGGCGCTGCACCTCCCCGGCTGCGTTCATTGTCGCTGACCTTAAGAAACAGAACGCGATAGAGGCCGCAACTAGCTAAGCTCAAGTGGGGATGCAAGAAATACAGTGTGCTATAAAGATTCAGATAAATGGCCTTCGCTGATAGCTTCTGTCCCCACAGATCTGCAGGAGCTTCAGCCGATGTCAGCAGCATTCAGAAAGGGCGACGCAAAGACAAGCAGGGTGGACACCGCTGGCTCCTCTAGTCCTTCTTGTCGAAATAAGCGAATAAGAGCAAACCCAGGTCGTTATGGGGCATTTAATGAAAAAACAATCGGTAAGAAAACTAATTTCAATGATGGGAAACCAGGTCTCGAGGTGTCCGAGTTGCGCAGTGCAAACTGCACGAGTGCCGTTCCGTGGTGGCCATGACTATGACCTATTGAATAGTTTCATTTCCCCAAAAGGAAGCACTAATGACTTAAGAATGGAATTTGATCGAATAATCAAAAAGGATTCATGGAAAGGATGACCAGTCTACGTTACCAGAGGAGATCGGCAACCGGTGGAGCCTTCAACGCTACCCAGCCCTGAACTGGTAACCGGAGGAAAGCTGCAGCAGGTTCGATGAAAATTTTGAATACTGAGTTGCATTCATCGAGAATATTATAAGATGCTTCTTGTCTGAGCTTTCTTTTTTTGCAGTGTATATTCTTCGTATGTCACCAACTTGCCGGTTCTGTTCTCCTGCTTGTCGTTCTCGTGGTGCAAATAATGCTGGGCGTTCAGACCGGTGAAACAGCAAAGCTAAGCTGCACCGGTGGTCTACACTGTAAGGGTTAAAACCACATTTTGCCCTTTGTTGCTTTCTTCCCCTCAGTTTTCTGCTGCGATTTGGATCGCGGTGCCCAGACACTCGAGCTCTGCCACAATCCTATCTACACACCACCAAAAACATGGGCTGCCTTTGCGCTGCTTTAACTTGCTGCATCGATATGTGATGTGGGGGAGAAGGAGAAGGCTGCTTGAAGAGAGAAAGTCATTTGTAGAGGGGCGCCAGCGCGATGCTGCCATGGGACTTGTGGGTATGGGGCATTTCGACAGTGAAGGGGCAAAATTGATGAAATATAAACCGCCTGGCAAATTTACTTGACAGGAATAAAGGGAACTAGTGGTAGTTTTGTTTTACCAGCTTTCTGAAGCGTTTACTGAACACAGCCACAGTCACACCTCCCGCTCAAAAATAGGACAGCCGGGAAGTTCTCTTCAATGTGGAGAGTTTAGTAATTGAAACAATAATTTCACGTAAAATTATGATACAAATACGTGTATGAATACACTCCACCTAAAACGGAATTCAAATGGTGCTGTGGCATCAGTTTTGGCTGTTTTTCCTCGAAATGCAGCTCGATTACACTCTTTTTTATTTTCGGTTTAATATTCCAGCCTCGCTCCAAATATTTCTCGCTGCATGGATTCTTTTGCACTTTCCCCGAAGAGGATGCGTCTTAACAGTACTACTGTGGGCTAGAGTTTCACAGGAATGCTAGCCTCTGTTCAGTGCGTTTACGCGGTCGCTGCAGATCATATTTGAGACATCTTCCGAATTTGGGGGAGCAATGCTTTATCTGGGGTTAAGGGGCCTCCAGGCCCATCGGAGAATGTATTAGGACTAGAGGCCTCAACTGTTCCCAGAACACCGGCGTGCATGCAAAGTATGCAACTATCAGCTGGCACGGCTGTTGCTTGCCTTCTTTAGGGATAACGCGGAAGAAGACTCCTCTACAGAACAAAACATACTTTTGGATGCTTAGTCAACCCTGCTGCTGTTACTGCAGACGAGAGGCAAAGTCCAGAGGAATCACCTAAAAGTGAACGAAGCAAGTAAAAGCAGAGTATACGCGACAAAGAGGTGACACTTACGTTATTGAACTGTAAACAATTGCACCAGAGTGTTCACGCTGGTTATATCCAGTCCATTTTAGCATCCAAGTTGAACTGTACGCAGTGCAATATTTACACTTGCGGCAAGCAAGTCGACGACGATAGGCCTGTTGCTCTCATAGAAAAATGCCAACTATGTCGACCTTGTTCGCTGTAGTGAGTGATGGCAGTTGTAATTAGGGACAGAATGCGCAGTGATGAAGTTAAGCTATGTTACTTGGCTCTGCTTGCGCCATGCTAGCAACTCAGCGGCTAGTCAAAAAAATTACTAACCAGAAGTATGTGGAGCAACTCTGTGGCCAAAGTGCATATATGTTCATATGATATTTACTTTTGCAGCCGGCTAGAGTTAAGCTGCGAATCTCGTGCATTCAGTAATCGAGCAGATGGAGCGCAGCCGAATTGCACTGAAGCCTGCTAAGGCATATTACATGCATAATACATAAAAAATATTTGTATGTATGCACCTACATGAATATATTTTGCATTGAATTAAATGACAAATATACATTTATTGTAGGTGATAGCTTTGAACTCCCATCGACTGTCCAGTGGGCAGGGACGAGAAGGTCCGCTGGTCAGGCACACCACTCACAGCTACGTTTAGAAAACTTGAAAATGCTTTTCTTCAGGCCTCTTCTGCATTTTTGCAGTAGAATTCAAGGTTGTTGACTGCTTTCAATGGTTTGTAAACAGAAGCGGAGGTGGAAGCTGATTACTTTGAAACCAGCAATAGATAATCCAGTATAACGCGATCACAAATGCAATTTACACCTTCAAATTTCCTCTTGTTGTTGACGGTTTAGAGTGCAGATCTTAGAGAATTCTAAGCTGTAAGTAAGCTACTTGGAAGATCTCGCAATCTGTCTTGCCACACCTTGGATACTGCATGGGTCACTTGTTTGCGCTCTTCCCCTTCCAAGCTGTATTGTTGTATAGTTGCACAGCTGAATTTACCTTTTTTGAAGTAAAGGCCTCCAGGCAAACTATATTAAAGGGAAGGCCAAAAAAAGGTCCGGCTTGTTGGAGAAATCGTGAACGGTTGGATGAGTCGATTTTGCTGCAAGAGGGATGGCTATTCGGGGCAAAAGACCTGGCGATGAGGTCCAGGTGCCAGCAGCGCTATAGCTTGAGCTCTCTGCAGGACGGGCAATATGTAATAATCGTTTGGAATTTCAGAAGTAAAAGCGTGCTTCAATGCACAGTATTGGACATAAAATCGCTGAATTCCTTTCTCTTTGTTGAGGTCGGGCTGTTGATTGCTCTTTCCACCTGTCGACAGCGCTAGGCCTCGTGTTGCATCCATTATCCTAAATCTTCTCCTCTCTTGAGTCCAATCTATTTTTAATCCTTTAAGTGTTATATTGGCGTCTCAAGGCAACTTAAGAAGGCCTTTCAGGCCAACTGCGCCACCCAAGCGAACACTAGCAGAGCCTCATCAGAATCCGGCTTGCAGCACATTGAAATAGAATTGCCTCCTGGAGTGGCTATTTTCAGATACATGAAACTAAAAGAAGAAATTTCAGAAGTCATTCACCACGGAATTAAGCCTTTTTCGTTCACCTCAACTTGCAGTTCCAGGGTTCATATTCTGATTCCGAGGTGCCTTCTTGTCCACAGACTCCTTGAGCTTGTGCGATTGTCTTCAAGGTTCGGTTCTTATTCAAAGCTCGGCTCCAGGTTGTGGAAGGGAGCGGAGAGACTTGACCCTTCCTCCAGCCCCTGAAAGACTTCCAACCTAGTCCTTCAATTACCGTGTCAGTCGTTCGTTAGCCGCGGGGTTCAACCCACCGCAAACAATGTGGGAGAAAACTGAACAGTCCGCTGCACTTTGCCGTCTGGTTCCCCTTGAAGAGGAGGCCACAGATGCACAACCGCAGCTGCAAGATGCAGCAGATCCCTCCCTACTGCAGGGTAAGCTCGTAGCAGCACCGGTCTACCAAAAAGCACGAGGGAAGGACGAACAAAGAGGCGCAAGACTAGTAACCCCTTCTCAAGCTGGGGATGACAGCCAACAAACTCTGGCACTACGACATTTCCCTGCCGTTCAAGAGAAATCCGGGATCCCAATTAACAGCAAATGTGACTTTCGACCAAAAACAGTCTTGCTAAAAAAGGGCTGCACTGAGCAGGGTTGGAGGGGCGATATAGGCATTCAGTTGAAAAAGCGGGCTAAATCAGAGCTCTGGAAGTTCCCTCCTCTTTCTAGCTGGACGTTTGCCAACTGCTTCCCTGTGGAGCAGCTGTGTTATACCTCTGTTTGTGAACCTGTGGCGCTCTGTAGCCACGCATCTGGGGTCCTACTGCTACTGCATGCACCTTCAAAACAGGGGAGAGTCTCCGTTGTACACTACCTCTTCCCGTCTGTGCCTGTTCATGCAAGTCTTTTGGCTGCTGCAGAAGGAGCTGCCTCCGATGCAGCAGCCCCATGTCTAGCCAGAGAAGTGCTGCACTTCAATACTTCGTTGCAGCACCTGCAACACTCCCAAGGAGCAATAGCGCTAGTCTGCGCACGGGGCGAAACTCTCCTCTTACTAGCGGAAGATAAAAGACTAGTCGAGCCACAACGACAGCATGAACAGCAACAACAAAGTAACCAGCAGCAAGCAAAAAAATATGAGCAGCAACACGCACATGAGCACCAGCAGCACCAAGAACATGAGCACGACTCAGAGATAGCCGCACGGCTGGTCGTATACTTGCTCAACAGCAACAAGGAGGAAAACAACAACGCAGACAGCAGCAGTCTCAACAAAGTCTACGGTGCAAAAGAGGCCAACCTTGCAGATCTACCTAGATGGCCGCTGAGCCAAAATGATGCAGCCCCCAGACTTCGTTACTTTTTCAGCGCAACATCAGACGAACAGAGCCAGGCGTTCATTCTCTTTGGAGGTGCAGCAACAACAGTCAGAGGCTCCATGCGTGCAACACTCTGCCCCTGGAACTTCAGTAGCAGCAGGAGCAGCAACAGCTACAGCAGCAGAAGCAGTGAAGGCATATTTCTGCCTTCTACGTGGGAGGCCTTGGACGACCTGTGGAGTTTCTGCTGCCAATCTCGCCAGTGGAGGCAACCGCCCCGAAAGCAGCAGCAGCCGAAGTCAGTGACGTTCGCTGCATCAGCAGAAACAGGAACAGTAGAAGAGAAAGAGTCCAGGATGGCTAAGTGTTGTCTCACCCGAAGGTGCTTCTTGTGGCCTCCGGCTCTTGCTGGACACTCGGCGGCGGTATACAGGGGTTGCATGTTTGTTTTTGGCGGGTATACGCAGCAGCCCGCAGCAGCAGCCTCAGCGGCCCCTGGCCAGCAACAGGGAGAAGCTGTGGCCGACCTGTGGAGTTGGAACATCAAAAGCAATGCCTGGAGGTGCGAGAGCCCAGCAGGCAGGGCCCCACTGCCTCGTTTTATGCATGCAAGTTCCGTCGTGGGCAGCCGTTTGCTGATTTATGGAGGCCGCACGGCTCAGGGGCCTCTCCCGCTAGAAGAAATGATGTATGCTACAGAGCTAGAGGAGGGTCCCAAACAACGCAAGTGGACGCGAGTCACTCTTCTGGATGCGCCGCCTCCACCCCAACTCTTCTTGGGGGCTGCAGCTTGCTGCAGTGTTGAGGGGGAGGCAGATGCGTTGTTCCTTTGCAGCCAGAAGGCCGCCTTTCTAGTCGTAGCCAAGGAAATACAACAGGTACTACAGCAGGCGACTACAGACAGCGACGTCTGCGGAGTTGCTGAAGATCAAAGCCACGCAGAGGAAACACAAGCGACGGATCAGACAAACACACACCTGCAGCGGCAATACCAGTTGGAGGGCGCAGATGGCTGTTTGCGCCTCGAGATACCTGGCTACTCCCAAGCAGGCGAGGAGGAAGGATGCCAGCAGTGCAGCACGGCAGCAGTAGAACAAGCGGAATCTGTTGCTGCTGCCGCGGCTTTTTCTGTCTCTGAGCACGATGTAACAGGAGAGGAACCCTTCTGTCACGCACCCACCCCCGACTTCAACTTGCAAATTGTCGCCACCCCAATGACTGCCTCTGCACAGCGGCGGTTCCCGACTGGTGTCTTCGGGGCTGTTGGTAGTTCTGCTTCTGCCCCGCTGCTGCGGCAACCCCACACAGAGCTGCTGTTCAACAGTCCTGGACGCAAGCCCCAGCTACAACCTGTGTCTCCAGTGCATGCAACAGCGACCCCCATTGTGTTTCGACCGAGGCACCGGAGCAAGCGCTCCGCACAGTCGAACAGGCAGCAGCCCCAAAGACAGCAGCCTGCTGCTGGTGGTACAAGTCGGACACGTGCAACAGAGAGCGGCCAGAACGTAGCTGAAACAGAACCGTCAGCAAAGACAACGAAATGGAGAAAAGAGCAAGGACTGGATTATCTGCTGTTGCCAAGAGTTACGGAGGCGGAGCAGTCACAACAGCAGAAGCAACAGCAGAATGAACGTATGCCAGCACGCGCACCTCGTCCCTCCCGCTCAGCAAGTGCAGCTGGAAATGCACGCCTAAATTCTCAACAGCTGCAGCAGCACCAGCAGGATCCCGTGGATGCGGCGACCAGAGCCTCGGCAGCAGCTGCCAGTGGTCGTACTGTGCCCCTCTTCGGGCTGCGCTGGGTGCCCAACACTGGAGCAGCAGGTGCGCCACCAGCAACAGCAGCACCTCGAGCAACGGAAACGTCAACAGGACGACGGGCTATATCAGATGCAGTCTATGCACGTGCTGTTATGAATCGACAACAAGCGATACAGCCGCCTGCACAGCCTTCCACCGACAGGCCACCTCCGTGCCTTCATGCTGAGGCTCACCAGGGGACGTGGAAGCCCCATCGGTCGCCGGCTCTTTGCTCCAGCAGCGCTGGGCGGCATGCTGTGAGCGTCCGGGACAGGTTGGGACTTTCTGCTGTCTCAAGGGTCTGCAATGGCTTACAGCCACATGCACACCCGAGCAAGCCGATAGCTCCATGCAGAACGAGCACAGTAACAGATGCACACCAGGAGGCCTCTCTGCGGAATGCCACTGCATCGCAGCGGCCTGCCGCAGGCACAGGGGCTCCCTGGGGCCCCCCGTTGGGTCACCCTGCTGTCCTAGCCTCAGCGCATGTATCCTCAGGAGCCGCAGGGGGCGGGTTAAACGGCTTGCAAGCCCTCATGTGGTGGTTTGAGGCCCATGCGAGTGTTGTACATGACAGCAGACAGTGTAATGCAAACTCTTCTGGAAGTGAGTCTCAAGAAGCAGAAGAAAGCCTGCTCCGTCCCTCCTCCCGCAGCAGCAGCACCAGCAGCAATCATAAAAATTTAGCATCTGCTTCACCGCCAGCACACGGATTCGATTCCTACCACCGCGAGACGCAGCGCCTGGCAGCGTTGATGTACTCCGTGCAACCGGGCGGCCATCCGCCTGGAGGGGACCCGTCTCTGACTCTGCTACCCGCGTCTCCAGCAGCACCGGCAACAACAACAAACGAGGAGAAATGCGCAGCAGACAGCACCACAGGTGTTTCCTTGGTGGCACACAGAGTGTCCCCCCAAGTGTTTGTCGCAAGTTCCACAACACAAGAAACACCGAACAAGTCCGTGCTACCCTTCCCCCGCCCTGTTCGCAAAGTCAAGCGCTCAAATCCCAAGATACAAACAACAACTCCAGCAAGCAGCAGCATCAACAGGAAGAGTTCACGGAAGGAAGGGGTTCCTGCAAAAGGGAAGATTTCTGAGGTGCACAATTCCAAGACAACCCCGAACGGGACCCGTCTCGGTAAGTCTCTACCTGTCGCTGTCGCAGCAGCAGCAACTGAAGAAGGGGCAGGAACAGCAGCAGCTGTCGAGGAAACAGAGGCAAGAGCTAGAAAAGAACAAGCCGGTGCTGCCAAGGGCTGCAAACCTTCAACTGTCAGCGGGAGCAGCAACAGCAGGAGAAACAGCAGCACCACTAACAGCAGCAGCAACAGCAGACCATGCCGTGGCAGCAGCAGCAGTAGCAGCAGGACTGTTCCTGTCTCCTCTGTTTCCAAGGTAAAGGCACCTGCGCATGGCCCCCGAAGGCCTTGTACAGCCCCTTATCCAGTCGTTGCTGCAGGGGGGGGCCCAGTGCCCCCGCAGGGGGCCGCCAGTGCTTTTGGCAGAATGTGGAGGCGAATGGCCACATGGCCGCCAGAGGCTGTTGCTGCGCTCCTACAGGCGAGGGAAACTGTGCAGAAACACTCGAGTATGTTTAAAAACTGAGGGGGACACTAATATCTCCGTGGGTGTGATTATGAAGGACTAAGCAGAGGGCTGATGAAAACACTTTGTTTTCAAGGACTTCTGTACTACTGTAAGCTCCGCCGCCGATGCTTTTGTTGTTGCTGCTGCTGGCGTTGCTCTTCTCAAAAGGGGTTTAATTCTTGATCACTTCGCTGCTGAAGGCACTGCCATCTACCCCGCCTAATTCAGCTAGTCTTGCTTGGTGGCAACGACAACAGCAAGCCCACCAGCGATAAATCACAACAGCAGTGCCTATTTGTACCTCAGGTGGATTCTCTAAGAAGCACAATTGTAAGCACCAGAACCAACTGAGGCAGCAACCAGACAATTATGTCAGTATTAAACGACAAGATAATCAAAAAGCTGCATGCAGACACATGCTTGTGTTGTTGCCCTCTCCCGTTGTTCCCCTTTTTTATGCAATTGCAGTATCGGCGGGAAGGGGGCAGCTTTCGCAGAAACTGTATTTTTCTGCATTTATTTGGCTAAGAGCCCTCGATGATAGAAAATTCAGCTACCCTGAACAGGGAAATACCAGTGGCACTGGCAGATCTACGGCCGCAAACAAAAAACCATAGATACTAAAAATGATGCAACAAAACAGTGAATAACGGTAATCTACCTGCCAAATTAAAAACAGAATAGATCCTAATAGTAAATCGATGAAGACTGGGAAACTAATTACTGTGTGCCTATGAATAAATATAAATGGTACATATTAAATGCACGCAATTAAACACGGCAATGCACACAGAGTTCAAGGATGCACGATGCACGAAAAGCCTAGTTTAGTATTTTATTACACTTCAACTTCAATTAAGACGTGCATGAGATAATTCAACACATTTAATGCTAGATTTCACTGCAGAGACAACACTGGCTTGGCTGTTGCTGCACACAGAGAGGTGGTGCTGTTGACGTCGTACTTTTGATCGGGAGCAATACGAAACAACAACCGAATAATTCTCAATTGAAAAAGAAATAAATACATTTTAAATATGACAACTTGTATTTCGAAGTTTTCTTGTTGCGGTGTCCAAGAGCAGGCCCCCTGAACCTGCGATGCCCCTGAGGGCCCTTCTCCTCTGCAGCACGTGCGGCGGCTGTTGCTGCACTTCCCAATAAGTGTTGAACTTTCGCGACATCAGAAGGAAAAAGGTACTTGATGAATTGCATTGAGCGAAAAGAGGCCAATTAGTTTTAAAATGTCGGCAGAGAAGGGCGCTGCTGCTGCGCACACACAAAGAGCCTCTCCTCCGAGGGGGTCACCTGAACAGGGAAAGGCCTTACCCTCCAAAGAAACACCAGAGGAAATGACATGCCTAATCAATAAGCAAAAATCAGAAGCAGTATCTCGGGAGGCTTCTTCTTGCTGCAGAGAGTTTGTACTTGTTGAGGAAAAACAGCAAACCAACGGCTACAGCGTATCCTATCAGGTGCTGTGCACATATCCGTCCACAGTCCTGCTGACTGCCCGCTGCGCTGCTGACTTCGAATCGAACTATCCGTGTCTTTAAAGTTTGTACTTCAAGGCGTCGCCCCTCCCAACAGCCACTGCTGCTGATGCTGATGCTGTTTCGTGTGCAGCCTGCTGGCAGTAGCACAAGCGTGGGGAAGAAGCAATTCTTCGAAGTATTGCAGAAGTGGCAGCAGCGCAGCAAAGAAGCCCCAGCCCGGCTGTGCCTGGAGAGAAAGCTAATGGCCGCTGCAGCGCGTCGAGACAGCCAACGGAAAGTGCAGCTGCAGCGGCTCTCTGAGCACTTGCAAGTGGTTAAGGAGGCCCCTAACAAGAAGCAGATGCTCTTTGAATCCAAACGAACGAACACTCGAAAGGCAAGATAAAGTGTTTGGGATCGTTCGCTGCTCGTAATGGTTGCACCGTAGTGTGATGGGCTGTCGGTATTACGACGAGTGATTCCAAATTGGAAAATCTCCACAATAAATGCAAACACATAGTAAAGGCAGTTAACAGTTTTCATATTGAAGACGGCAGATAACCAGAGGCACCCTGTATCGATGCAGGACTGCGCACCATCATGCATGCATGCAGCACTTGACTAAGGGCACTCATCAGCCCCATAATCCTCTCCCAATCCTCCTAGCCAGTTAAACTGCAGAAAGAAATTATCGCCTACGCACACATACTTGTACTCTGCAGGCGCTGGAAGCGAAAGGCCTCAAAGCCTGCAAAGCCTGCAAGCGGATCGTCGAGAGGCAGCAGGTGCTGCAGAAGAAACTCACAGAATGCTGTGACAAACGCGCCAAGTATGCACGGAAGGCAACGGGGTGCATGCCTGCACGCATGCGCCTTTGCTTCACCCCCTCCTTACAATAGTATAAACCATGCCTTAAATACGTCTAACTTAGTTTTGTTTAACTCTATACAGTACATCGTCTGTACTCCTCCTAAGGCCCTTCAAATGCTTTGCTGTTGCTACTCTTGGTGCTTCTGCTGGTGAAGTTGTTTTTGCTCCTGCTGGGTCTATTGCTGGTGTTTCTGTTGCGGCTGCTACAGTAGCACCTGATGTAGATGCATGGTGCTTTGGTTCATTCGCTTTTCGTATGTAGGTACAGCGAAGAAAGGCAGCGGCGAGTTGCAGCTCTGCGCTGCCGCCTCGAAGCCCGCGAGAAGCAAGCGGAGATACTACGACAAAAATATTTGCAAAAAATTAGGAATAAAAGAATCCATTCTAATGCTGTTGCTGCAACTGTCTCCAGTAAGATCCTGCTACCGTTGCTGGTGCTGCTTTTACTAGTGTTGCTGTTGTGGTTGCTGCTGCCGCAGTCCTGCAGTTTATCTCGTTGCAGAAAACAAATGCACGAATACTTTTAAATTACTAGCCTGAAAAAGATGAATGTCCCCTATTAGATTGCAGATATTGTTCGTGTAACGCAGCAAAGAGTCGTGCAACACTCCTCCCCAAACATGCATTAAACTGCAGATAAGATTTGGTGGTGGTGTCTCTACATGAACAAGTATATATGTGCAAACTGTCACTGTTATTATCATTTCCTTGAGAATCACAAGGTGATGGCAGGTTAACAAGTAAATGTGTGGTTGGAGGAGACACATTTCAGCACTTCAGCGGTGGTGTATCCGTCCCTATAATATCACTAAATATGTATATTGTATATTCATGTATGTACACGGTTTATTATATTGCATATATAAAGAATGTTCGGGTTAACTACGCAGACAACAAACAGGTGCACGCAACTGTGTTGCTGCTCCTCTTACAACGGCCTCCTGCGTCAGCAGCTGTCATTTTTTGTGTGTGCTTTTCTTCAGCGGAAGCCTGAGGAGACCTCTTAAGTATATACTATGTATTATATATTATATGTAATATATAATGTATATTATATACGATATACTCTATTATTCTGTCTATGTAGGAGACAGCATTTGTTAACACACCCATGAAGATGTGCAATCCCACGGAGACAAAAGCAACAGCATCAGCAACAGCAGCTGGACGCAGAAGCATCAGGAGCAGCTCCTACGGGGGGATCGCCTTTTCTGTCTCTGTTGTGTCTGCAGCAACCCCCCCTTTCCCCGTGCTACTTAACACATCAATGGCAACTATAATTATACTATGTAATATAACTAATATGCACAATATATAGAAAATAATATCCAATATATGTTTTATAAAATAATATATATGTAACTGCAAAGAAATGTTCGAATTAAACACAAAACGCATTCTTGCGAACGCAACTCCAACAATATCTTCATAACTTCGCGTTGGCACGAAGAGGGTAACAACAATATCCACCTAAGCGGCTAGCTGCTGCTGGTGCTGCAGGTGCTGCTGTTGCCGCAGCAGCCGTTGCAGTTGCTGCTATTGCTGCTGCTGTTATCGTTGCTGCTGCCCTGCAGCAGCAACGAGGAGCAGCCGCTCCTGCCGCAGCAACACTAGCCAGCGCTGCAGCAACAAATTGTTTTGACTTTTCATTAATGAGAAGACACAATTGCCTACAGGAACTGCGGGCTCTCGGTATTTGCTTTTTGCACTCAATCGGATGGTGTAGAAGCAGCGGGGGCTGTATGTACACTTGCTAGCACCTAGCCTCATCTACAAGGCTCCAAATAAGGCGCGCTGCTGCTGATGCTGCTGCTGCTGCTGCTGCTGCAGCTACACCGGGCGGTCCTATGAATAAAACCCAGAGGTAGACGAAGCCACAGCAGAGGGGGGTTTTCACAACCTCCAGGGCTGGTGTTGCGGCTGCTGCTGCTGCTGCTGCTGCTGCAGCGGCACATCCTGCAGCGCCCCCTCTGCTAGAGGCTGTGACGTGAAGATATCTCCTTGACTGGCTCTGCTGTTTTGTCTTTCGCTAACTTCGGCCAAAATTGCAGAAGCAGGAGGCGCGGTTCTTGAATGAGCATGCGACGAATTGTGGCTGCTGCTTTCCTTCTTCCGCTGTTCACGCACCCCACACAGCATAAGCAGAAACACCAAATCACTGAGTGCAATTCACATTCAAACAGCAGTTTTCCAGAGTTTCTGCATGAGCAAATATGAGGTCTGAGGTCTATGCACACATCAGGATCTGTGATGTATTTATGCTTAAGGTGCCTCTTCCTCACCTTCTTCTCCGACTTGCTCTTTCGGTGTTTTCCCTAAGCAACAACAAAACGAATCAAAACAAAAAGAGTAAAACACAAGAAAAAAACAAAACGTAAACATAATACAAGCAAAACTAAAAAAACCGAACAATAAACAACTAGACAGATGGCGTAGAAAAATTAAAGAAGATGGCAAAATAACAATACACGAATATCAATAAGTTAAGAGGGAGTTGCCTCCACCACCTGCTGCTGCTGCTCCGTGAGAGGTGGGAGTAGCTACCTCTTTTTGGTGTTGCAATTTCTCTTGTCTCTTTCTTTCTTCTTTTACTCTTCGCGCTTCGTCCACCGGCATAAAGTTGTTCGGATCCGTTAAGTCTAAGAAAGGGCCTCTCCGCTGCTTCCTGCAGCATTAGCAGCAGCAACAGCAAATGCACTGCTTTGATTACATGCAGATGCCCCATGTGTGCGCAAATAGTGTTTGCATACAAATAAATATTTGTCAAGGATTTTCAATAGGACAGCCAAGGAGATAATCTTATTTGGTGTTTGTCTAGGCAAACACCCGCCCGTTTCCTGTATAACCTCTAGCGTTAAGTATATGGGTTCATATTCCTAATATGTATTTACAATATCTATATTGACATGTATTTATACTCATTTATACTTGTTGCCTTACGCTAGAAATCGCTGCATGCGCTGCCACTTGCGCGACCGCAGCAGAAACTCTGCCAGATAGCTCAGGGGACCCCCAGAAGGGCCCCCCCTCTGCTGCAGCGCCACTTCCCCTGATGGACAGAGGCCCTCTCTGTCGCTGCTGCTGCGGCTGCTGCTGCGGCTGCTGCTGCGGCTGCTACCCGCCTCGCTGCTGCTCCCCTCGCTGCCGCTGCTGCTGCACTCAATAACGCTGCTGTTCGCCTCGTGGCTGCTCGTGCTGCTGCTGGTGCTCTCTCCTGTAACCGAGAAAGAGACAGAAGAACCTTCTCCCCCGCGTCTTCTTAGATTACCCGCCTCTGCAGGAAGGGCAGCAAGCGTCAGCTCGTCGCCACCAGTTGCGCCTGCTGCTGCTGCCGCGGCTGGTGCTGCTGCGGTTCCTCCCGAGGCCTGGTGTACCGCTGCTGACGCGACTTCTGGAGCAGGCAAACGCTGTGGACTATTCGGCAATGCTGAGCTGCTGCTGCTGCTGCTGCCGTGTGAGGAGGTTATCTCTCCGTTGCTGGGTGTGTGGGGAGCAGCAGGCGCAGCACGTAGGGGGGCTGCAAATTGCTGGAGCAGCGCAATCACAGGGCAACAGACGAAATCACACATGTTAAGAAGAGGAAACAAAAAAACAGCGAGCAAACAAATCAGAAACAGCCATAAATCCTAGACCCTACTTAGGCCCATACAGCCTCACGCAACACGCTTCTGTAGCACGAGCAAAGAAAACAGCTAGAAAAACAGCAGCAGCGACAGCAGCAATAGCAACAGCAGCAGCAGACCTCTACAGCAGATGGGGAGTCTGGTGGGGAGAAGTGTGCGTAGTCGATATCCATAGGTTGCACCCCAGCGCAGCCCTTCAACTCAACCAAAACGCCTCCTAACTGTTCCTCAACTACACGCGCAGGTGTTTCTGCTGGTATTGCTGTCGTCTCCGGGGCTGGTGCTGCTTCTGCGGCGGGGACGGCCGTAGCGGGCGCAAAAGGCGTCGCAGCAGCAGTGCTGCTGCTGCTGCTGCTATCCGCCGCATTCGCCCCTCCTTCTGAACCCCACAGGGTCACCATCCCGACGACGGTATTAGCAGAGGCTGGCGCATGCTGCTGCTGCTGTTCCTGCTGTTGAGTGAGAAGGGAATCTGCGCTGCTGCTGCTGGCAGATGCTGTCTCCCCCTGAGGCGAAAGACCCTTTGCTGATGCTTCGGGAGAGGGAGGCAGGCCGCTGGTAGGATTCACATCCGCAGCAACCCCCCCTTGCACCTGCTGCTGGGGCTCATCTTGTGAATTGAGGCGCATGTGTGGTGCCGGCGAGAAAGAAAAGCGCGGGGAGTCCTGAGCTTCTTCTACGGCGAGCAGTTCCGATTTGCACACCCCCGCTACTGCAGCAGCAGGATCGGCAGCCGCAGGAGCCTGAGGCGCTGCTGCTCCAGCCGGAAGAATAGGAATGGAAGGAAGCAAAGCATGCAGCAGTCCGGCAGGTGACACAGTAGAAACAGCTGCAGCAGCGGCCGCCTGATTTGTTGCTGCAACAGCAGCAGCAGCAGCAGCCTGCGGGTTGGCGGGGTCAAATCCACCGCTACGTGGTGAGAAGAGCTTCACCGTTATCGCATGCTGTTGCTGTTGCTGCTGCTGGGTGCTGCTGCGCGGGGTGCAGGGGCCCAGTCTGGGTGTATTGACCCCAGATGATGGCGAGGAAGGACATAGAGGAGGGCCGAGGCCTTCGAGCTGGACAAGGAGACTGAGATGTATCAGCACATCGGTTATTGCACCTAAGCCCTCAGCTGCAGCAACAGCAGCAGCAACAACAGCAGAAGTAGCACACCAGATGCACGCCTTTTACTTCCATGCTGCAATCTTCAGCTGGGCTCAGCGAGCTGAAAATGAATCGTAGCAGCAGCAACTCATGCTCTAACCGCAGCAGCAGCAGATCCAAAAGCAGCAGCAGCACAGGGAGCAACTGCTTAAGGAGCAGCAGCAGCAGCAGCCGGTGTGTTGTCCTCACAACGAGGCCTTTTTAGTTGCATTTGTTTGTTTCTGTGCTCGGAGACAGCCGCATCGAGGCGATCTAAAAGGCGACAATCTTCAAACAAACAACGCTGTATATTCTCAGACCCAATTTCTAGAGCCTGCATGCATGCAAACCGACAACATGCATGCAAACCCTTAGACCCTTTGCATGCAGGCACACCAATAGGACCATTACATGCATGCAACCAAGAGCAACAGCCTCGTGCATGCATGCATCCATGTCCTCTTGAAGAAGCAGTATAAGAAGCAGCAGAACATCGACAGCAACACGAGCAGCAGCAGCAGCAGCACGAACAGCAAGGGGAGCAGAAAAAGCAGTACCCGTTTGAGAATGGAGAGGAATTTTGCTGCGAAGATATGATGAGATCGTTTTTTAAAGAACAAATCTAAAAGGGAATTCCACTGTGTAGCAGAGATAAAAGACAAAAGAGAAGGTACTGCCAGCACCAGTTGCTGCAGAGCCTCAATAGCGTCAATACAAGAAACTCCTAACCGGGTAAGAGGATCCCTGAGGAAGACAGAGACATGAGAGAGGCAGATATATACATGTACACCCGCAGCATGCATGCAATTCTGCATGCAAACAAGAACGCTGCATAAATGCAGGCATGCAGACAGAAAGGGTACACCAACCCCTTCATTAATGCATACTCGCATGCATGGAATGGATGCATGCAGCAGTAGGAGCAGCGGGATCAGTAGCACACGGCGCAACACGCAGAGCCCTATATCCTCTCAGAGCATCGATGTAAGCAACGGCACCAGCAAAAACAACAACAGCAGCAGCAGAAGATGGGGTTACTTGGGTATAAAGCAGAGGAGGGAGGAGATTAATGCTGTTGGTGTCTGCAGCAACTGTTGCTCTATTTCTGGTTGGAATACAGAGAGGCAACGGTAGGGCTGTGCATGCAGTCCCACTGCAGCAAGCAGCTGCAAACAAGGCCCGCGGCTTCTGCTGCGAATAAGACTCTGCAGCAACAAGCACAGCAACAGAGGAGAGCAAATGCTGACAAACAAACCCTTCATTTACTTATAGGCAAGACAAGGAGGGAGAGGCTTCCAAAGGAACACAGTACAGGGGAGAGGAAAAAAGGAAAGAGGAAACAGGACACAACAGAAGACAGAGAAAAAGCAAGAAAGCCACGAAGGAGGCGACGAATTGGCCATACTCGAGAAGAGGCAAAGCGAGCAACAAGTAGGCAGAGAGAAAGACAGCAAAACATACACAAGGAAGCATAAAGATAGGTGAAGACAGAGGCTACGGAGAGACAAAAGAGGAAACAAAAGGAGACAAAGAATATTAATTAATATTTACCTGCACAACAGCAGAGACAAAACCAGACTTTACAAATGTCTCTTGAAGGAAAACTTTATGTTGATGCATTCCCATGGTGGGGTCGCTATAGACTTCTGCCATGTCTGTTGTCCCTTCCTGCAGCTTCTGCTGCATCCACAGCTGCGCACAGCAGCAGCAGCAACAACAGCAGCAGCAGCAGCAATTGGAGGGATACGTTTCATAAAGCAGTAGCAGCAATAAGAGTACAGCAGAAACAGAAGCAAAACCGCCAGCACCTGCAGCAAGTGTTCAGCAGCACCAATACCAGCACTAACACCAGAAGCACGTGCAGCAGCAGCAGCAGCAGCAGCAGCAGGAGAAGGGCGTACCTGAAATTCTTCTTCGGATACACCCGGTCTTGGTAGATTAAGTCCTGTACAGCCTGGTGGTCTGCATGCAGGATGTTTATAAGCCCCCTCAAGAATTCGCAAGAAAAAAGGGAAATAATCTTCAAGAGAAACAAAATGTAAAGGATGTGCTGCTGAGCATGCACCTGCTGCTGCTCGCATGCGCCATAGAGGCAAAGAACAGCGATCTATAGATAAGGTACAACCAGATGCGCAACTCCTACGACACCGATTGCTGCTGCTGCTGCTTGTTATGTGGCTGCTGCTGCTGCGCACAGGTGCAGGATGCTGCCTCCTCCCTCGCATGCTGCTACCCGCAACGGATGCTGATGCTGCTGCTGGTGCTGCTGCTGTTGCCGTTGCTGGTGTTGCTGCTGCTGCTTTAGGGGAAGCACCAGCAGCAGGAGCAGGAGCCGTAGAGGACAGAAATGGAGACGGCCATACAGGTGAAGAGCTGGGGGCATCAGTGCTGCTTGCTGTTGGCTGCTGCTGTTCCTCCTCCATACCCTCCGCCTCCATATCGCTGCGCCACCGTCCCCCTGCTGCTGCTGGTGCTTCTGCTGCTGCTACAGGTTTCGCAGCTTCAGCTGCAGGCTCTGGCTCAATTGCAGATGGCTGCAGGCCCTCCGAGTTAGGAGGCGTATCCATCCCCCACATCTGTGCGTCTTCCATGCTGCTGCTTCTGCTGCTGCTGCTGCTGCTGCCGCTGCTACTGCTACTGCTGCTGCCTTGCGTGGAAATCTCCGCTGCACTGCCTTCTGCAGGTGTCGTTCCGGCCATCTCAGTTGCAGATGCAGCAGCAGGAGCAGCCGCAGGAGCAGCAGCAGAACCGAAGAAGAGGATTTCCTCCCCTTCAAGGCTACCGCCGGAAGGGAGGGGTCGCTTCGCAGTGCTGGGTCCCCAATCTAACTCTTCGCGAGCCTCTCCAGCAGCAGCAACTGCAGCAGCAGCAGCAGCAGTTGCTGCTCCCGCTACTGTTGCCGCTTCTGTTCCCGCCGCTGGTGCTGTCCCTTGTGCTACTTCTGCTGCCTGATTGGCGCGCCACTTTGTTCGCTGCTGCTGCGAAGGCTGACCACTGGCACCCGCAGGCGAAGCCCAGGCGGAGCTGCGTCTGCGTGCAGCAGCAGCAGCAACAGCAGCTTTCTGCTGATGCTGCTGATATCTCCTCTTAAGATGCAGGGCCCACAAATGAAAATGCAAAGGGTACACGGCCCTCCCTGAAGGGGGCCCCCCCGTGCCCCATCCCCACGCCCCTGCTTCCTTCCCTTCTGCTCCTGCATTCGATCCCCAGACATATCTGCTGCCTCCTGCTGCTGCATCTGCTGCTGCTGCAGCTGAGAAACAGCAGAACGGTGTCGTCGTTGTCGCCTCCGTGTCTGAGTAAACCAAATGCGGAAAACGCTCCCTATACACCGCAAGACGCTGCTGCTGCCGCCTCTGCCGCCGCGCCTCTCCATGCAGACGAGATACCCCATGCTGGTGCGGATGCCTGCTGCTGCTGCTGCTATTATTGTGGTTGTTGCTGCTGCTGTCGTTGTTGTTGGACTGCCTGGTGACGATACGCGACTCTGGAGGACTGTGAAACGCAACAGTAGCCGCAGCAGCAGCAGCAGCAGCAGTACCGCTGCTGCTGCCCTCTGCACCGGGTAGATGCAGACTCCCACGCAAAGGCTCCTCAGCGGGAACCGTTCCATGCAGCGTCTGTTGTTGCTGCTGCTGTTGCTGTTGCTGTTGCTGCTGCTGTTGCTGTTGCTGTTGCTGTTGCTGCTGCTGTTGCTGTTGCTGCTGCTGTTGCTGCTGCTGCTCAAGAGCACTTTCTGCAGGAGTATCACTCTTCGCCGGCGGTTGAGGGGATACAGGGCAGCTACTGCTGCAAAACGTCACAACAGACACAGACCCTAGATCCTAAACCCTAAACCCTAATATAGGGCGAGCACAAGATCGACTACTGCGTCGCTCGTGTCTGTCGCTGTTTGTGTTCTGTTTCTGTATCTTTATCCTTTATTTAATTAATTAATTAAATTAATTAATTAACTAATAATTTATTATTGTGTTGCAGTGTATACAGGACAAAATACAGCAGTTACTATACTCACAGGTTGTTTATGGACTGCCTTCTCCTGCTGCCTCTGCTGCTGCTGCCGTTGCCCCTGGGTGCTTTTGTCCTCCACCCGGAGGGACCCGCTGCTGCAGCAGATGCATGCGCATTGCGCCGCTCGTGCTGCTGATGCTGCTGTTGGCTGTCCCCGTGCTGTTGCTTCCGCTTCTGCTGACGCTGTTGCTGCTGCAGTTCCCGCCGCAGCAGCTGCCGCTCTGCCTTGCTGTTGACAGCAGCACGTATGGGCCATCGTGCAGCCCCGCGGCGTCCCGCTCTGTAGCAACAGCAACAGCAGGAGCACTTGCTGGTGCTGCAGCAACTGGTGCTGCTGCAGCAAGTGCTTGAGTTGTTGCCGTTGTTGTTACTGCTCCACGACGAGCTGCTCGTCAGCGGCAAGAGAGAACGATGCCCTCTCCCTCCTGCGGCATCAGAAAAGGCAGCGGCGGTGTGCTGCTGCTGGAAGCTTCCTTCACCGCTGCTGCTGCTGCTGCAGCACAGTTGCTGATGCTCCCGATGGTGTCTGCGGGTGTTGCTAAGACCCGGAGAGAGACTGATGATGGGTAGTCCTGCAGCGGAGGACCGGCGCAGGCGGCTGTGTGGCTGGTGCTGCAGCGGTTGCGCTCCACAGCAGCAACAGCCGTTTCCCCCGCTACCGCCGCAGCAGCAACAGCAAGCCTTGCTGCAGCATGCGCATGCACTTCCCTGTCCCTGGGACAAAAGCTGCAGCAACAGACTGCTGCGCCGCTCGTAATGTCGTTGCCGCAGCAACCCAGCAACAAAGGAGGTCCAGCAGCAGCCACCAAGCAGCGCCTCAAGGACGGGGGCCCCTATGGGCCCCACGCATGCGCTGTTGCTCCCAGTCATACGCAGCAGCAACTCCTGCGAGGGAAGAAAAGAGAGCGACAGCAGCAGATGCCGCAGCACGTCGGATAGAGATATCGTGCTGCATGTATACGCAGCAGCAGACTCCCCTCCTGCTGCGGTCAAAGCTGCTCCTGCTGCAGGAGCAGCAGCAGCTCCTCCTGGCTCTGCTGCGACAGCAGAATCAGCAGCAGGCGACTGAGCATCAGCCTCCCCCAACAGGTCCTGCTGCTGGTTTCCTAAGAAAGTGTCGCTGTCCTCTTCTAAACCCTGGAGCTGCCCCTTGTTGCTGCTGCTGCTGTTGCTGTTGCTGCTGCTGTTGCTGCTGCTGCTGCGTGCTGCATCGCCAGGATGTGCAACAACAACATGAGAAGGGAGTGTCTCTACTGTACCATGAGTACAAAACAGCAGCAACTCAAGCAACTTCGTTATATGATAAGGGTTGCTGCCTCTGCTGCAGGTAGCAGGATGTAGACCTTGCAGCAGTGCAGCAGCAGCAACACCAGCAAACCTGCTGAGGAAGGATCGAAAGAATAGACATACATCATTCGAATTGCTTCCTCCTGCTGCTGCTGATGCTGCTGCTGCACCCTTGCTGCGGAAGGTTGCCTCGCTTGTAGTAGATAGACGCATGCATGCTAATGGACTATCAGCAGGGAAGAAGGCAGAAGAATTATCAGCAAAACAAGAGATAAAGAAATCATAAACTGTGTAAGAACGTCTTGCTACATCACGTGCTGTAAATAATACAGGACTGCTGCTGCAGCAACCATCTCCCCCACAGCAGCAGCTGCTGCTGCTGCTGTCACTGCTGTTGCTGCTGCAACAGCAGCAGTTGCAACAGCTGCTGCAACTCCCGTTGTTAATGCTGCAGCAACTGCTGCCACCGCAACCGCTGCAGTTGCTGCAACAACTGCAGCTGTTTCCTTTCCCACAGGTAGAACTACTACTACTACTACTACTGCTGCTGCTGCTGCTGCTGCTGCCGGAGCAACGACTGTTGCAACTGCAGCGCCTGCTGCAGCTGCGGCTGTCGCAAGTGCTGGTGGCTGGGGAGTTGGTTTCCTGTTGTTGCTGCTGCTGCTCGTTTTGAGTATCTGTTTTGTTGCAGCAGGTCTGTGCTTCTGGTGCTGCAGCAGCAGCAGCAGCAGAGGGAGCAGGATCATCATCTTCTGTATCTGCTGCAGGTCGTCTAGCTGGCAGCAAATGGCGCAACGAATCAGGAAATGGAGGAGGCAGCTCTGTGACGCAGCCGCACGTTGCTGCAGCAGCAGGATGAGGAGCAAAATGTGATGAATGACAGCAGCAAGGAACGACACCTGCTGTCTTCTGTTCCTGCAGTAGAGGTAGCCATGGCTCAGAAGCCTCACTGCTCCCGCTGCTGCTGCCACTACTACTGCTGCTGTTGTTGCTGCTGCCGCTGCTGCTGTTGCTGCAGTGGAAGCTATGTCTACACCATCGACTACTACGAGCAGCACAACACCGATGTGTAGTTTTTAGGCAACAATCTCCTTTCCTCTGTTGCAGTTGCCCTTGTCCCTGTCCCTGTTGTTGCTTCCCCTGTCCCTGTGCCTGTCCCTGTCCGTGTCCGTGTCCGTGTGTCTGTGCCTGTCCCTGTTGTTGTTGCCCCATTCCCTGTTGATCATGTTGTCCCTTGTATCCCTGTTGCTGTTGTTGATGTTGTCTATGTGAACCTAATACATGACATTGTATATAATGTGTAAATCTTAATGGTACAGAAACAAGAGAAAATACAGCATCTACAGCAGCAGCACCATAACGTTGTAATAATGCTGTAAATAATTCAAATAATGATGAACTACCAAATGTATTTCGACGTGAATCACTCAAATCAAATACAAATGGACAATCAGATGTTAAATCTGAGCATGATGCCTCCCCACAGAATCCACGATCTACGTAGTCTGCAGCAGACATACATACACATACACACACAGAGAGACAGACAGAGACAGAGAGACATACACACAAACACAGACAGACACACACACACAAGGAGACACAATAGGAGATACAATAGGAGATACAATAGGAGACATAATAGGAGATATAATAGGATACATAATAGGAGATACAATAGGATACATAATAGGAGATACAATAGGAGACATAATAGGAGATACAATAGGAGACATAATTGGAGATACAATAGGAGACATAATTGGAGATACAATAGGAGACATAATTGGAGACACAATAGAGGACATAATAGGAGACACAATAGGAGACATAATTGGAGACACAATAGAGGACATAATAGGAGACACAATAGGATACATAATAGGAGACACAATAGGATACATAATACACACAGGAGACACAATAGGAGATACAATACATATATGTAGATATAAGAAGACACAAGAAGACAGAGGAAATATATATGGCATAATATTATGCCTCAACACAGAAACCACGATCTATGTAGTCTATAAGAGACACAAGGAGACACAAGGAGACACAAGGAGACACAAGGAGGCACAAGGAGACACACAAAGACACGACGACACAATATATAATAAGGACACAAAGATAAAGACAAGACACAGGTAGCAAGACACAAAGACAAATACAGACAAATACACAAGACACAAGAAAAGAAAGAGACACACGATAAGCTAAGGATAAGACAGAGATTAAGACACAAAGACACAGTCTACAGGATTTAGTCTACTGCAGCAACAGCTCATGATGCTGCTGCTGTTGCTGCTGCATTGCTGCTGCTGTTGCTGCTGCATTGCTGCTGCTGCTGCTGCTGCTGTCTTACTTAAGAAATGGAGGTAAATAAGAGCCATTAGATGATGATAACGACCATAGGAAGGCTGTGGGGTCGGGTAGTACTGCAGCAACTCCTCCACCTCTGCTTCTTCAGCAGCCTGCAGCAGCAGCAGCAGGAGCAGCAGCAACAGCAACAGCAAAAAAGAATTAGTTGGACAACGGTCTCATAACGGTATGCAGATCAGGCAATAACCTGCTGCTGTTGCTGCTGTTCCTACTGCTGCTTTTGCTGCAGGTGTACGGATGCAGCAACGCTGCTGCTGCAGCAAAGAAAGCACTTACGGTTCTCGCGTCAGAGCTGCTGCCGGTGTCACAGGAAGGAGCGGCCTCAGCCTGCTGCTCTTGCTGCTGCTGCTGCTGCTCCTGCTTCTGCTGTTGCTGCTGCTCCTGCTGCGGACCGGTGGAGTCGGATTGCTGCTGTCCACAATCGGTGTCCATACACTCAAAAGCCAATGGCTGCTTCGCGACTTCTTCTGCTTCCCTCAAGAACTCTTCATGCTGCTGCTGCAGCAGCATCCCTTCCTCCTGCTGCTGCTGCTGCTGCTCGTGCTGGTGCTGCTGCAGCGCCGCTTGATCCTCTAACGTTATGCCTGTGCTGCTGCGTCGGTACTCCCATGGCTCGCTATCATGGGGCTCTGCTCCTTCTCCCTGCATGTATTGCCCCTGTGGCTTCTCTTCCTGCTGCTGCTGTTGCTGCTGCTGTTGCTGCTGCTCCTGCTGCGGACTCCTCGCAAATGGTGCAGTTTCTAAGACGGGCAGCTGCTGCGGTGTAGCTGCTGCTCCTTCCTCCACATCCACATTCATGCTGCTCTCCTCGGCGCTGCTACTGCTGCTGCAGCTGCTGCTGTCATTGTTGGTGCTGCTGCCATACAGGAACTCCAGGCCATTCGGCGGCTTCTCCTGTTGAGCACCGATCTGCTGCGGCTGCTGCTGCTGCTGCTCACCGCTCTGCTGCTGCTGCTGCTCGGGAACAGAAACAGCTAACTGAGGAACTCCTGCATGAACAGAGGAGTCCTGCAGCAGCAGCAGCTGCTGCTGCTGCTGAGGTCTTACCTCTGGCCCAACCAAATCCATACCCTCAACGCAAGGTGGTTGCTGCTGCTCTTGCTGTTGCTGCTGCTGCTGCCCGGGCTGCGCATCCGCCAACCCACAAGTATCAACGTTCACTGTGTCTCCTTCAGGCGGCAGCAGCAACTGCTGCTGCTGCTGCTGCTGCCGCTCAGCAGACTGCGGGACCCTGCCAGGGGAGAATCCCTCCCTGGAGAGCATGCCATCGCTGCCAGGCAGCAGCTGCTGCTGCTGCTGTTGCGGTTGCTGCTGCTGCGGTTGCTCTTGTTGCTGCTGCTGAGCAGCTGGAGAAGCTGTGACAGCCGAAACAGCAGCGCAAGCAGCTGCAGCTGTTGTTGTTGCTGCTGCTGTTGCTGCTGCTGCTGCTGCAGGGGAGACAGGCCTCGAGATGCGCTCTGCCAGCTCAACGAAGACACGAGATACATCGTGCGACGTGCCCCTGATGCTGCTGCTGCTGCTGCTGCTCTCACTACCCTCGCTGCTGCTGCTGTTGCTGCTGCTGTTGCTAAGCAGGTTCGGTGTCGCCGCTGCAGTAGCACCAGCTGGTGCAGCAGCAGCAGCAGCAGCAGGTTCTTGTGTAGGACTCTGGTGACCCACGTCTCTTTCCGACGGTCCCAGTAGAGAGCCCTGCTGCGGTACCTCGTGGCTGCTGCTGCTGCTGGTAGTGCCGCTGCTGCTGCCGTTGCTGCTGCTGTTGCTGCAGAGAGTTTGACTCTCCCCTCCCTGCTGTTTTGGGGGGTCCGTCTCTGCTGCTGCTGCTGCTGCACCAGTTGGTGGTGCTGCGCCAGCATCTCCTGCAGCTGCATGCGTTGCAGCAGCAGCAGCAGAAGCGTCACGTACCTCTGCTTCGGAGGGGGGCCCAGCAGCAGGACTCAGGGGAGCAGGCACAGCCAGCGCAGCCTCGGCTGCTGCTGCTGCTGTTGCTGCTGTTGCTGCTGGCTCAACCCCTCGTTGCTGCTGCTGCTGCTGCAGGTGTCCCTCACGAGGTGAAGGGCAGCTGGTGTCTCTCTCACCTTCGTCCTTCTGCTGCTGCTGCTGCTGCTGCTGCGACGGAGTGTCACACGGCTGTTGCTCAGCCTGCTGTGGCGGAGAATGCCGTTGCGGATTTTGCTGTTGCTGCAGCAGCTGCTCCTGCTGTTGCTGCAGCTGCTGCTCTTTTAAGTCAGCATTTCTAGGGGTAAGCCCGTCGTTCCCCATTGCTACCATTAATGTGCTGCTGCTGCTGCTGCTGCTGCTGCTGCTGCTGCTTGTGAAGCATTGGCTATTCGTTGCAGACTCTGGTGGCGCAAGAAGAGAGCTGCCCATTTGAGACCTGCTGCTGCAGGCCCTGGTGCTGCTGCTGCTGCTGTTGCTGTTGCTGCTGTTGCTGCTGCTGCTGCTGTATAAGACAGTGCTGCTACTGCGGGGACCCACCCACTGGTTGTCCGTCTGATGCTGCTGCGCGGTGTAACATTATAGTTGCTGCATTGCTGCTGCGCTGCTGCGCTCATTCGCCTGTACACTTCAACTAGCAGCAGCTGCTGCTGCAGCAAGAGCAGCAGCAGCAGCAGCAGCAGATCAAATCCCCTTTAAGGATATATTTGCGGAAAGGAAAGGAAGACAGCAGAGGGACAGGTTGCATGTGCATCTGCCACGGCTGCTCTAGTGCTGCCGTCGTAGTGTCTGCTGCTGCTGCAGCTGCTGCTGCTGCAGCAGCCGCTGCTGCTGCTGCTGCTGCTGTCAGCACTCCTGATCTGGTCTCAACGCGAGTGAGGACCCAGCAGACACCTTCGACTCCAAAGCCGTAGCTGCTGTTGCCGTTGCTGCTGCAGCAGCTGCTGCTGCAACTACTGATGCTGCTGCTGCTGCAACAGATGCAGCTGATGATGATACTTCTGCTGCTGATACTGCTGCTGCTGCTGTAGAGTGTCTCGTGTTGCTGCGGAAGAGCAGCAGCAGCCCTTCCCCGGCCCACCGGCCTGCGCCTCAGGCGAGAGCAGCAGCAGGGAAAGCGGAAATTCTAGAGGAAGGGCAGTTGCTGTTGCAATTGCTGCTGTTGTTGTTGCTGCTGCTGCTTCTGTGCTGCTGTGTTGCTGTACACATACGAGGCGAGCAACACAGGGTGAGTGGCATCTGCTGCTCCGTCTGCGGTTGCTGCTGCTGCTGATAGATTGCAGTGTGCATACACCCGACTGGAGGGCGGGAATTCACATATAGTTGTATCGGAAGGGCAGCAACTACGAGAGGCCGCTGCTGCTGCTGTTGATGCTGCTGCTGCTGCAGTTCCTTGCTGCTGCTGGAGGAGTCGGCGTAAACACGAGGCCCCCAGGCGACAGCAGCTTTTCTCCTTAAGAGGGATTTAACCGATCCTTCTCTTTATCTAGCGCTGCCGTGTTGCCACAAATAGCGCAAAAAAAGTTGCTGCTGTAGCAGCAACGTCTGCAGCAGCAGCAGCAGCAACAGCAGCAGCAACAGCGGCCGCTGCTGCTGTTGCTGTCGCTGCAATTGCTGCTCCTGTTGACTCCCCGCCACCTTCCCTCTTAATGAAAAAACACTAAAAACTAATAACAAAGGGTTGTTTTAACTCTTACAGCAGCAGCAGAGAGGCAGCAGCTAACAACGTTTCCTATATCTGTGTGCTGCTCTCAAGGGCCTCGTAACAGCAGCAGCAGCAGCAGCTGCTGCTGCTGCTGCTGTTCTAACGGTTCAAGTTGAAGCGCTAATAGAAAGGGTTCCTCCAGCTGTCTGTACAGCTGAGCAGCTCCAAAGGCTCCGTCCTGCCTTCCTTCTCTAAGCAGCTGCTGCAACAACTGCAGCAACGGAAGCAGGAGCAGCAGCAGCAGCAGCAGAAGTCATCGCGGCATCAGTCACAGGGGCACGGGAACTGCAGACCATTAGTGTTGGAGGAGCAGATCAACGGGGTATAGGCGCTGTTGCTGTCTGCTGCTTCTGTTGCTGCTGCTGCTGCTGCGTGCTGCACTCAACAGCGAGAGCAGCAGCAAAGTCATTCACCAGCAGCAGCAACAGCAACAGCAGCAGCAGCAGCAGCAGCACTCCCGTCCTCATCGCAATGTTTTCTTCTCCCGTAGGGCGCTCTCCTGCTGCTATATCGGATACTTCTCCACCAGAAACCCCCACAGCTGATTCATCACAGCAGCAGGAGCAGCAACAGCAGCAACAGCAGCAGCAGCAGCAGCAGCGGGCAGTGCTGCGCTGCGGCGACGCCTGGAGGGGCCTCTATCGCCCTACTATTTATCCAGGGAGAGGGGAGTTTACAGAGAGAGACATCAAAGATATTTGCTGCACCTTCTTGCTGCTGCTGTGTCGCCAAATCATTGCTGCTCGCAGCAGCAACAGCAACAGCAGCAGCAGCAGCAGCAGCAACGGAAATGGCAGCAGCAGCAGCAGCATCCTGCAGGGGAATCTCTGCTTCGATGGCTCTGCCTCATCCCTTCCTGCAGCTCCCTCCCCTGTGTCCCAGCAGCAGCAGCAGCAACAACAACAACAGCAGCAGCAGGAACAGCATGAAGAGCAACAGCAGCAGAAGAGTTTGCTGCCAGCAGAGGGAACCCTTGAATTATTTTTATCTGTTGCTGCTGCTCGTGGTGCATGCAGCCTATCGAGGCCAATTCCTCTAGAGGATGCAAATGATGTATTCGCCTTCCTAACTACTGTCTGGGAGAGTAAACCCTAAACCCTAAACCCTAAACCCTAAACCCTAAACCCTAATTTTGAATACATATACCCTAGGAAGTAGTAGGGAGCAGCAGCACCGTAGCGGAGGTGTGGCAATTGCTGCTGCAGTGCTGCTGCAGTGCACTGCAGCACAGCGCAGCACAGAGAGGGTTTAGGGTTGCTAGGGTTTAGGGTTTAGGGTTTAGGGTTTGTTATGTGTGGGGTGCAGCATTATTTCTGGAGGAGGAATTGTTTACTGCAGCAGCAGCAACAGCAGCAGCAGCAGCAGCAGATGAGGAGGGTATTGATATTAATCAGCCAGCAGCAAAAGCATTTACAAGAGATTATAAGGCTATAGAGGATAGCAGCAGCAAACTTGCTGCTGCTGCTGCTGCTGCTGCTGCTGCAGTACCCCTATCCCCACAAGAACAAATCCTTGTGCAGAGGGTAGGGCTTATTTATCTTCTTATGTGGATATACTATACCCAGCCCCTCATCATCACCAGCAGCAGCAGCAGCAGCAGCAGTAACAGCAGCAGCAGCAGCAGCAGCACGGAGATGCCAACAGCCGCTCTGCTGCGGCCCATCCCTCTCTCTATCCGTAAGCTGCAATAAAGGGTTTAGGGTTTAGGGTTTAGGGTTTAGGCCTATCTGCTGCTTGCTTACCCGTAAACCCTAAACCCTAATGAGTGTATGAGGGTTTAGGGTTTAGGGTTTATGTGTGTCTGTGTGTGTTATAGAGAGTGGCAATTTGCTGCTAAATATTAGCCGCTGCTGCATGCGTTGCTGCTGCTGCTACGATGCACCTCGTGTGCTGCGTCTGCTGCACTGCAGCAAAGCATTTTGCTTCTCCTTGCTGCTGCAGCGGCCACCATTAGATTACCATTTAGATGGCAAAGGGCAGCCACTAGATTTATGTAGACGTCTGCTGCTGCATAATGAGCTGTACGTACACCTCAACCTCCTGCTGCTGATGCTCCTGCTGCTCCTGCTGCTGCTGCTGCTGCTGCTCCTGATGGTGTAGGTCCTAGGGATTGCGCTGCTGCGTGCTTTGTTTTGTGCTGCTGTGCAGCAAGAAGACACTCGTCGTCCGCAAACCTCTTGCTGTACGTCCTTACCTTCTCCCTTTGCTTCCTGCTGCTGCTGCTGCTGCTGCTGCACCTGCTGCTGCCAGTCCTCTGCTTATCTTGCTGTTCTTGCTGCAACAAGAACTGGTGCTGCTGTTGCTGCTGCTGCTGTTGCTGCGAGCAGAAGGCAATAGGACAAGACATGCATCAGTCCTTAGATCCGCTGCTGCAGCGGCTGCAGCGATCTGCGGTGTACGTACACCCCAGCAGCAGCACAGGAGAGCTGCTAAGCGGGCTGCAGCAAATCGATGGCTTGCTGCAGGTAAGGGAAGCACTAAACCCTAAACCCTAAACACTTATTAGAAAAGAAGACCGTTGCAGCAGCTGCTGCTGTTGCTGCTGCTGCTGCTGCCTACAGGAACTTGAGCAAGAAGTGCCTCCTTTTGTCCAACGGGAAACGACGAGCTAAACCCTAACACTGCAGCAGCAGCAACAGCAGCAACAGCAGCAATAGCAGCAATAGCAGCAATAACAGCAATAGCAGCAATAGCAGCAATAGCAGAAACAACTGTAGCAGCAGCAATAGTAGCAAATGCAGCAGCAGCAGCAGGACGCATGACTAAATGTGGTGTCGTGCGGCTGCCATGAGGCAGCAGCTGCTGCTGCTGCATGCATGCAGCAACAACCCTACTCGAGGGTTTAGGGTTTAGGTTTTTTTTTTATTTTCTCTTGGCTGTACACTTGGCTCCTCTAAACCCTAGGGTTTAGGGTTTAGGGTTTAGGGTTTACAGACCCTCAGGGTGTATCTTGTCGTCTTATTTATGTGTTCGCTGTGACGGCAAACACTAAACCCTAAACCCTAAACCCTAGATAAACCCTTAACAGGTTTTATTTAAAAAAGGACCCAAGAGGGTCTACCTAGTATTAGGGTTTAGGGTTTAGGGTTTAGGGTTTAGACTCCCTGCAGTTACAGGCCCCGTTTTCGGTGCCTGTAGCAGCTGCTGTTGCAGCAGCTGCTGCAGCTGCTGCTGCTGTTGCTGCTGCTGCTTATCTGTTTGTGTCTCTACAAGGGGCAGCAGCAGCACATCATATGAGCCCATATCTAGTGTATTTAGTTGCAATTCTTCTGTTTGCTGCTGCTGCACTTGCTGCTGCTGCTGCTGCACTTGCTGCTGCTGCTGCTGCACTTGCTGTTGCTGCTGCATCTGCTGCAGCAGCTTGACCGCTTTTGCTTGTGCGCGGGTGATGATCACCAGGGGTTTCCTACGAGAATCTGTGGCAGCCTGCTGCTGCTGCTGTTGCTGCTGCTGCTGCTGCTGCGACCCCAATGCGGTGTATAGACAGCTTAGCCATCCCTTTGTGCTGGGCTTGTGGGGGCAGAGGACGCGAGCAAAGCCTGCGGAGGACAACAGCAATCTGAGGTGTACAGGCAACTCCTTCTGCTGCAGCAGCTAATAGACAGCAGCTGCACACAGACAGCAGCAGAAAAACAGGCACCAGTAGCAAACAGGCAGCAGCAGCAGCAAGCAGCAGCAGCAACAGCAAAGGATAAACACGCACCTGCCTCTTTTGCTGCTCTTGCCGTCGTCTCCCCTATGCAAATCGCTACTATACAGTTGCACCTGCTGTTGCTGCTACCGTCCCTGCTGCTGCTGCTGCTGTTGCTGCTGCTGCAGCAAACAGGCAAGCGGTTTGCATGCACCCACGAAGATACAGCCGAGGGACTTCCAAACATAACAGCAACTCCCCAATAAGGCACTTCCTTGCTGCTGCTGCTGCTGCTGCTGCTATTGCTGCTGCTGTTGCTGTTGCTGCAGCTGCAGCTGGGTCTATACCTGCTGCTGAGCAGCTGCAGCAGCTGTCTCCTCACCTCCCGAGACAGCTGAAGAGCAGCAGTTGAATAAACACGAAGAGGCACAACTCGCCAACATACAGCCTGACTTGGATCGCTGCAGCAGCTGCTGCTGTTGCTGTTGCTGTTGCTGCTGCTCCTGCTGCTGCTACTGCTGCTGCTGAGGCAGCGAATGAGCTGATCTTCTGCTAATGCAGAGGAAGGCCATAAGAGACGACAAAGACGTCTGCTGCAGCTGCTGCAGATTAAGGGTAGGGATAACAAGGGAGGACGTAATCTGCTGCTACCTGCTGCTGCAGTTGCTGTTGTTGCTGCTGTTGCTGCTGCTGTTGCTGCTTCTCGCTCTACTAAGGATTGCAGCTCTGCTGCAAGAGATGCAGCAGAAGACACGGAGGAGACAAAAGGCTGTAAGAGATTAATTGCATTGTCAGCGTATTGTCCATCCTCCTCCTGCTGCTGCTGCTGCTTGAGCTGCTGCTGCTGCTGCTGCTGTTGCTGCTGCTGGGTGTGCTCACATGGCAGCAGACCGCCTCCAGATGATGGAGAAACAGCAGCAGCAGCAGCAGCAGCAGAAAGCTGCTGTGTGAATTCCTCCGCAGTTGCCTCACCGACAGCAGCTACCAGCACTGGCTGCAGCTGTTGCTGCTGCTGCTGCAGTTGCTGCTGCTGCTGCAGCGGCGGTCGCCGCAGCAGCACATCTGCTGCTGCTACACCAGCATCCCTGCAGCAGAGGAAGAAATACTTCACTGCCTCGGGAGAAGTTAAGGCTAACACATCGAACCCTCCAACGCCATCTGCTGTTGCTGCTTCTGTTGCTGCTGTTGCTGCTGTTGCTGCTGTTCCTGCTCCTGCAGTATCGGTTCCTGCTGTTTCGGGTACCTCTGCTGGTGGCTGTATTGCTGCTGCTGCAACCGGTGGTGCTGCTGCTCCAACTGTGCTGCACTTGGATAGGGCCCCTTTAGCCCACCTGTGCCTCTGTGACGGCAGTGTGTAGCTGCTGCTGCTGCTGCTGCTGCTATGGATGAAGGCAGCAGCAAACTTTGACTGCAGCAACAAGGCGTCTGTGTGGCTCAAATAGCTGAGGCAGCAAATGGCTGGCAGCAGCAGCAGCAAAAGAAACATCACCTTATCGTCTCTTCATCATGCCGGTGCACTCAACAGCAGCAAGAGCAACAGCAGCAGAAGCAGCAGCAGTAGCAGTAGCAGCAGCAAGCTTCCCCCTCCACTATAGTTAGCAGCAGTCTTCTTCCGTGTCTTCTTGTTCCTCAGTCTTTAGCTCAATACTAATTAAAACAAATTTCTGCTTGGTTGCACACACAGCCGTAGCAGCAGCAGCAGCAGCAGCGGCAGCAGCAGCAACTGCTGCTGCTGCTGTTGCAGCATTCCTCGTCGTCTGCTGCCCAAGAGGTGACTGTTTCTCCGCGAGTTCCTCTTTTGTGCTATTTTTATCTTTTCCTTTTATTCTTATTAATTTAAATACTTCTTAAGCCTACAAGAGGCTTTATCTTGCATGCACAGCAGCAGCAACAACAACAACGACAGCAGCAGCAGCAGCAGAAGGGCCCCCGCCGGCGTGGGGCCCCCCAATCGATACCAGGCAGCAGCACAGATCGCCATTTAAATTCTTTATTTAGGCAAAGATGACAGCCCCTTCATCTCCTTTATTGAAGACAGCGGAGCCCGCTGCTGCTGCTGCTGCTGCTGCTGCAGCAGCAGCAGCAGCAGATATGGCCAACAGTCCCCGAAAGAGGCAAAAGCAGGACCTTCCTTTACAAACCAACTGTGCTGTAGATGGGCAGGTGCAAGACGAGCTGCAGCAGCAGCAGCAGCAGCAGCAGGAACAACAGCAGCAGCAGCAGCAGCAAATGTATCCCTACCTAACCCGCCCCGATGCAACAACACTGTTGAAGGAAAGCGGAATCGATGCATATGCAACAGACCCACCAGCAGCAGCAGCAGCAACAGAAGCAGCAGCAGCAACAGCAGCAGCAGCAGGAACAGCAGCAGCAGCAGCACCAACAGTTATTGGATTTAAAGGAACAATTAAAACTCTCTTTGAGGACTTTCAGGTGTACGAGGACCCCGGCATTACATTGCCGCAGCAGCAAACAGCAGCAGAAGCAGCAGCAAACAGCAGCAGCAGCAGCAGCAGCAGCACACCTGGACGCCCGTTACGGCTTACTTCTTTACTAAATCCGCAGCAGATAATCCATAGGCGGCAGCAGCAGCAGCTGCTGCTGCGGGGGGAGGGCCGCATAACCTCTACCTATACCCTTCCTATTCGTCTTAAAGGTGAAGCAGCAGCAGCAGCAGCAGCAGCAGCAGAGGCAGCAGCAGCAGCAGAAGCAGAAGCAGCAGCAGCAGATGCTGCAGCAGCAAAATTAAGCATAGGAGATCGTATTAATGTACAAACTTTTGTTAGAGGTCTTGCGGTGTATTGTCTGCCTACAAGACGGCAGCAAGCAGCAGCAGCAGCAGCAGCAGCAGCAGCAGCAGCAGGAGATGATGAGCAGATTAAAAGAGATCAGCAGGCTGCAGAGGAGGCAGCAGCAGCAGCAGCAACAGCAACAGCAGCAACAGCAGCAGCAAAAGAGATAATGGAGGGTCTTGAGCATCGCATAGATGCAACAAATCGTCTTAACCTACCTGGTCTTGCTGCAGCAGCAACAGCAGCAACAGCAGCAGCTGCTGCTGCTGGAGGCAGCAGCAGACCATCTGCTGCCTCTCTAGCAAACCCTTTAACTGATGCTGAAGGTGCGCCTTCGTCAGACAGCAGCAGCAGCAGCAGCAGCAGCAGCAGTACCAACAACAGCAGCAACTCTCAGGAGTCTGTTGCTGCCGCAACAGGAACACCAGCAGCAGCAACAACAGCAACAGCAGCAACAGCAGCAGCAGGAACTCAAGACTTTACGCTACCAGAGTTATGGTTACTAGGTGACACAGTAGCAGCAATTCAAGCAGCAGCAGCAGCTGCTGCTGCTGCTGTTGCAGCGCTTCCCCAGCCTGCTGCTGCTGCTGCTGCTGCTGGAAGCAGCAGCAGCAGCAGCAAGCTGAGGCCAGAGGTCGTTGCTGCCATTAGCTCGCATTTGCCTGTCACTGAGGACAGAAGCGAGTGCAGCAGCAGCAGCAGCAACACCAGCAGCAGCAGCAGCAGCAGCAGCAAGATATGGAGTATACGTACAGGAGGCCTGGATGCATTTTATAAGCAGCAGCGCATGCATTTGCATGCATCTGTTCGTCAGCTGCTGCCTTTTGCTGTGTCTGCTGCTGCACCTGTTGCTGTTGCTGTTGCATGCGGTGTCTTTGCTGCTGCTGCTCCTTCTCCTACAAATCCCCACTTCCTGCAGCACGCTGCTGCTGCTGCTGCAGAGATGCATCCAGAGGATGCTGCTGCTGCTTCTGCTGCTGTTGCTGCTCTTCCTTTTGTGTCTCTTGAGGCAAACTGGCGGCAGCAGCAGCAGGAGCTGCTGCAGCTGCAGCAGCAGCAAGAGCAGCAGCAGCAGGAATTAGAGCAGCAGGGGAATTTCGATGCTGCTGCTGTTGCAGCAGCTGCTGCTGCACTTGCTGCTGCTGCTGCTGCTGCTCCTCCGCAGCAGCTAATTCGTCTTATCCTGCAACCGCAGTGTCTTGGCTACCTCTTTAAGAGACACGGTGTCTCTATGCAGCAGCAGCAGCAGCAGCAGCAGCAGCAGCAACACCAGCAGCAGCAGCAGCAGCAGCAGGGAGGTTCCCATGGAGTAAGGAGGCCTTTCCGTTACAAACGTGCACTGCAGGACAGGGGCACCCAAGAGGAAGCAAATAGCAACAGCAGCAGCAACAGCAGCAACAGCAGCAACAGCAACAGCAGCAACAGCAACAGCAACAGCAGCAACAGCAGCAGCAGCAAGGACAGCATTCTTGCTGCTGCAGCACGAGCAGCAGAGCGTTATCTTGGTGGTCCTTGTCGCCGTTTCCCTCAGCAGCAGCATCATCATCATCAGCCACAGCAGCAACAGCAACAGCAGCAGCAGCAGCAGCAGCAGCAGCAGCAGCAGCAGGAAGGAGGAGGTCGTTATAGTATAATAATATTACATAAACAGAATAGAGACACAGCAGCAGCAATTCATTGCTTGTCTTGCTGCCTAAGGAAGCCTGCTGCTGCATTTGCTGCAGCAGGAACAAAGGATAGAAGAGGAATTACTACACAACTTATTTCTATTGATAGGGTCAGCTGCTGCTCCTGCTGCTGCTGCTGCTGCTGCTGTTGCGTGCTGCTGCTGCTGTTGCCTGCTGCTGCTACGTGTGTGCTGCTGTTGTGAGTGTTTCTGCTGCTGCTGCTGTTGCTGCTTATATGTGCTGCTGCTATGAGTGTTGCTGCTCCCCCTTCTGGGTCTGTGTATGCTTTTGCTGCTGCTG